GACGTGAAGTCTGTGATTTACTTGGAATAATCTGGGGCAGTGATTCTCACCCAGAGGACTTGTGAAAACACAGATTTCTGGGTCTTAAGGCCAGAGTTTCTGATTCAGTAGGGCCGGGATGGGGTCCCATAGTTTTTATTCCTGACACTGATTGATGCTTATTGTTTGAGGCCCACACTAGGAGACTGACCTGAGGTGTAGGAGAGTGGGTGATGGGTATGAATGAAGTAAGGTTGGGCGTGAATTGATAGCAGTCGGAGCTGTTGGGTACGTAGGGTTTATTACACTAGTCTGCTCTTCTTTGGAAGTTTCAATAATAAAAAAGTGTGTGTGTGTGCGTGCATGTGCGCGTGTTACCAGAATTTGACCGTTTCCCAGCACCTCTAGTCCTACCACCCTGGTCCAAGCATCCTCTCTTGCCTCGATCGTTGTAGGGCCTCCTAACTGGTCTCCTTGCCTTTCCTTTGCCCCTCTAGGATCTGTTTTCAACAGGACAGCCGGAGTGATCCTCAAAACCCTGCAATGCTTCCCTCTCACTCAGAGTGAAACCCCAAGTCTCTTCATCACCTAGAAAGCACTTTGCAATGTGTCCCCGACTCCATTTCCTCTATCAGACACGCTGACCTCGCTAACCCTTGCATATGCCAAGAATGCTTCTGCCTCAGGACCTTTGCATGTGCTCTTCCGGACCCATAGTGCTCCCCGACTGTCCACTCAGCCACCTCTCTCTTTTCCTTCATCTACTTTCAAAGGTCGCCCCTGCAGTGAGGCCTTGTCAGACCCCACTGTAAAAGTTCACACTCCCCCACTTCCTGGCCCTCTTCCCTGCTCACTTCTTCTCCTTAGCTCACATCACTGTCTGCATTGTGCTACGGATCTGATCTGTCCCCCTGGGCAGGAAGCTTGTGTGGTTCCTGGCACCGGGTAGGTGCTGCCGCTCCACCACCTTTGTGGCGGCCTCGTCAGTGCCACGGCTCCCGGCTCCCAGCCCCACCGGGTTGGCCTCCACTGTCATCACTCATCCGTTCATGACATGTGTCCCTTCTTTGCCACTGCCCAGTGTCTGCCTCGGCTGACTCTGGCGTAGGTGGGTTGGGATCTGTTTGGATCCCTGCTGGGTCCCTGTGCCTGGGACAGTGCCAGCCGCTTTTGGCTCTCAGATACATGCCCACTGAATGAACGGCTGAATCCCCGGGCAAGAGGTGGACGAGGATGAGGGTGGGAGTGTAAACGAGAGGACTTTCTGGAAAGTCATGGCCAATGTGGGGGCGGGGAGGGGGGATGTGGGCGGGGGAAGCAAAAACGTTCTCACATGGAAAAACCTACCGGAAATGCAAAAAAGTGTGGAAGACAGACATAGTCTATTTTTGAGACATTAAGTAAGGAAGGACAGAAGTTGCCAACGGGCAGATCAAATACGGTCTGCAGAGGTGTGCAGCCCACACGATGCTTAAAATAAATCTGGACTGGTTGCCAACACTGAAAAATCAGAAGTATCCTATTTCTCTTGAAAAACTGGAGGCTTGCTGGCACTGTGCTGGCCTGTCCTCCTGGGGTAAAAGGGTGGGAACGGACCGTGTGCCCCCATCAGAAGGGGCGTGTGTCCCCTGGTCGCAGCAGCTTCATTCATTCATTACCTGCCTGAGGCTTGTATGTATTTGATTTGTGAGCTCCCTTTTGAAGAGCAAAATGGATTTCTTCTTCCTTCGACACTAAGTGAGGAAACAGTTATTTGGGGCAGGCGGCATGTTGGGCAGTTTTAGAAGAGGCTGCCCGGGAGGCCAGGCCTCCGGGAGTGCTGCAGGTGGGGCTGTGAGGGCCGCGAGGGGGCCTGTGTCACAGGGATGGGACGCATCCTGCTTCCACGTTGCAGGGATCAGAAGGGACCTCGGAGAGGAGGGCGTGGAGAAAAGGAGAGACGGTTTGCCGGGAGTCTGGGCTTTAAGAGGGTACCCCGGAATGTGACCTTATTTGGAAATAGGGTCATTGCAGGTGTAATTAGTTAGGTTGAATCGAGGTCATCCTGGAGGGGGGCCCCAAATCCGGTGTGATGGGTGTCCTCACAAGAGGAGAGAGACACAGAGCCACACAGGGAGAAGACAGCCAGGTGACGATGCAGGCAGGGGTTGGAGTGACGCAGCTGCAAGCCGAGGAAGGCCAAGATTGATGGCCACCGCCACAAGCCAGGACAAGGCGGGAGGACCCTTCCCTGGGGCCTCCAGAGGAAGTGTGGCCCGCTGACACCTTGCTTCCAGACCTCCAGGCTCCAGAACCGAGAGCTGAGAAAGTTTCGATGTTTTAGGCCACCTGGTTTGTTTACCGTCAGTCTGTTTGTGGTGGAGCAAAAGCATCTCCCGGGACTGTCACGTGCACTAAGGTCATGACCTGCCGTGTGAACCACGTGTGAACGTCGGGGATAATGGTGTTGATTATATATTCAGGAGTCAATCATTTACAGGATTTGAATGGGACAAAGTGGCCTGGTGGCGTTGTGCTTCTTTGTTTTTAAAATAGGATGAAAAGTCTTTTTTGTTTGTGTTTGTTTAATTTTCCCAGCGCGGAGGCGGGCTTGTCCTCTGGGATCCAGCAGGGCAAGGGGTCAGTCTGTTTCCACGGCTTCTCCTGAAGCCCTGTTCCCACCTCTGAAGTGTGGATTTGACCACATTAACTTTGGCTGGCATTTTCCCGGGGTTTTGTTTATTCGGTCGGGACTATTTGCAGAGGTGCACGAACGCACAAAGACCACCATGTTTCAGGGTCAGCAAAGTGAGACCCAGATGATACTCCGGCTTCAGGGTTCTGTTCAAAGACTTTGTAAAGCTCTAAGGGTTAAAATATGACTTTTTCGTGTCAGAATTATTCTCTTGCATTGAGCAACTTGTCCCCCGAGGTGAGGACCAGGCCTCTCCCTGGTTAGACTGGGAGACACCATGCGTGGCCCCGAACAGGGCCTGCGAGGGGCAGTTCGCTTCCACCTGTGGGGTTGGGATTTCACAGGCTTTACCTGTCCTAGGGCTTCACGTGTCCTAGAGCAGGGAGCAGGCCACTCCCAGGAGGGCTCCATGGCACAGGGCCCAGGGCCCGTCCCTTAATGGCGGGTTTGTCACCACCCTGGGCAGAGAGCAGACTCGGGGATGCAGAGGCTCCAGGAACTGGGTTGTATCCATCTGGGGCCCCTCAGATGTCCACACCCTAATCCCCAGTTCCTGTGAATGTTACCACACGTGGCAGAAGGGGCTTTGCAGATGTGATTACGTTAAGGGCCTTGAGATGGGAGATTGTTTGGGGTCATCTGGGGGCCCAGGGTACTCACGACGGTCCTTAACAGATGGAAGAGGGAGGCAGGAGAAGGAGAGAGAATGAGGTATGAAGATGGAAGCAGATATCAGAGTGATGCGATTGCGGGCTTTGGAGAGTAAGGAAGCAGCCAGTAGCCAAGGACTGCAGGGGACTCTAGAAGCTGCAAAAGGCAGGGGGATGGCTTCTCTTCTAGGGCCTCCAGAGGCAACCCCATCCTTTTGACATCTTGATTTTAACCCGGTGAAACCCATTTCAGAGACTTCGGACAAGCAGAATTATAAGATCACAAATTTGTGTTGTCTTGGGCCATTGAGTATGTGGTGGGTCATTTGTTACCGCGGCGGTGGAGACTAATACATCATTCCACCGCCTCCCAGCTGTCCCACATCCTCTGAGGCAAGTCGATGGAGTCGGCAGGGCTATGGTAGTTACCTTCAGGTTATTCTTCTCCCTGATCCCCCCCACCAAAAAAAAAAACCTAATCAATTAGAAAAATTCACACGACTGTTGGAGGAAAATGTCATTTATTAAACTGGTTTTTAACCATATAACTCCTTGGAGATTCTGATGAAAATTATGGATCTTAGCCTCATAAAAATATACATCAAAACTTTTGCGTACAATTTTAGAGATCATACGGATTCCCCCAAAAGCGATCCGTGAAGCTCCGGTATCTGCCCAGGCCTTCCTCTGTCTCCCCAGATGGAGAGCCCTTGTATTATTGGATTGGCCAAAAAGTCCGTTCGGGTTTTTCATAAGATGTTATGGAAAAACCCGAACGGACTTTTTGGCCAACTCAGTAGATGAATTCACTTGAGGCTGAGTAACCGCTTTCCTAGTAAGTCTCCCTAATGGTATTGCCAGGTCCTTATTTGAGGATTCACGCATGTTTATGTTTTGTTCTGTGCATTTAGAAACATTCTTCTGAGAAAGGGGTACAAAGGCCTGGCCCCTGTAACAGCCAATGGCATCTCCAGTTGCGTCTGTGGCATCCCCGTCAAGGTCAAGGGCTCCCTGCTTCTAACAGCCTTTCTCTCTGTCAGTTTTTCTGCCTTCGCTTTTGCACCAGGCTGGGTCTCGCCCTGGGCGTTCCCAGTAACTGCTGAAGAGCCGGGGCCTCTGTTCATCAGCCTGCCTTGGGGTTCACTGGCCCCAGGCCCCCCGCTTAGCCCCCATGTGTTAGCCGGTCCCTGGGGGCAGGTGGGCACTTGAACGACGCAGCCTCCAGTGGACGATAGTTAAGAAGGACGGTCCTCCCCATCAGGGAGCGATGACTCACTGCTGTTCCTGAGCATGTGGACCGCGGCGCAGAGGGACGGGGCTGGCCTGCAGCGACTGGCCCCGGGCTCGAACCCTCACACTCACGTCTGCCAGCCGGGGACTCCCCTCTGCCTCTCCAGCCCGCAGGCAGCTGCCGGAGCTTCCAGAGAGCAAGCTTTTGGTGGGAAGGTCTGAGTTACTGCAGCTCGGTGATTTGCTGATCCTCAGACCTCCACAAATATTACTTGGGGCCGAGCTATTGTCTCTGCGTTTTCTTTTCCGAGTGGGTGGGAGCTGCATTGGGAGCTGCAGTGAATGAACTCCAACAGGAGGCTCAGCTGATGCTGTCTGTGCTGTGTTTCTTCCCCAGCTCCAGAAGAAAAGGAGGTCATTAAAGGCCAGTATGGAAAGCTCACTGATGCTTATGGCTGCCTGGGGGAGCTCAGGTTGAAGTCCGGTGAGTACCCACTCCGAGGGGCAGCAGTTGTCAGACCCCCCTGGCTAGATAGATTTCTGGTGCCGGGCAGAGCCTCTCTTATGTTAGTGTGGAAAGACTGTGGGATTTAGGCGTTCTATTTTAACTGTTATCATCCTTTAAAATGTTTCTTTCGCTGAGCCAGCTCCTCTGGGCAGGAGGTCCAGGTGAGCGCAGCCTGGTCCTGCCAGTGGTGCTTCGTGCCCTGGATGCAGAGGAAGCTCACCTTCATCGCGTGCCCACCGGGATCTAAGGTTTTCCAGCCTGGTGTGGAGGTGGAGGGCTCAACCCAGGGGCTTGTTTGTTGTTTACAAGAGATCTGTGTTCCAGATGGGGTGGCGGTCAGAGGCCCGGAGCCCCTGGACTTGCTGGGTGTGTCTTGAGGGAGAGGAGCTGGGACGGCGCGTTGTTGGCTAGGAGAGAAAAGCCACCAGCACCTGACCGTCGGGCACCAAGGGTGGGTGTGAGCGAGAGCAACGGAAAGAGCTTCAGAGCTGGGCTGTGTAGTGACTAGAAGGGACAGAGAATTACAGGAGCAAGTGGGCATCCTGCTCGGCGTGATACTCGAGGGGCGGAGCCGTAGGCTGGGGTGGGGTGCCACCGCCTCCGTGTGGGACCCCTGGCTCACCTCTGCGCTCCTAGACCTCTTGGGAGCCCTGGTGCACTTCTGGGGCTGCAGCCCCCGTGTCCTTCCTCCCCTCTCGGCTGCCTCATTTACAGCTGAGTGTCTCCGAGGACTTATGGGGCCAAGACCAGAAGAGGCTGTGAGTTCACCAAACGCAGGCTCTTCCCGAGCTGAGCGCGTGCATCTCCACATCCACGGAGCCGCTGTTTTCCTGGATTGAGGATTTTGAAAGCTGACAGAACAGCCCTGTTGTTTGCTGTTACTTTTCTGGTCTTTTCTTTAGTGGGATGTTTTTTTCTGAACTATGATGATGACATTGATCATCTCCCAACAGTGTTTAGGAAAAGCATTCAGTACCCTCGTGACAAAATGCACTTATTCAATGTCTGTTTTGTGCTAATGGCTAAGTATACATTAGATTCTTTAATCCTAAAAACAAGTCAGCGTGATACGGTATCTTTATCCTCGTTTTCAGTAAAGGAAACAGACTCAGAGGGTAAAAGGAGCTTGCCTAAGAAGCTTAGGTAGGATTCAAACCTGGATCTAGCTGCCTCCAGACCCTTGCTTTTTTCGTGAAGATGTGCTGCCTGCCAAGGGTTTCTGTAGATTTTTTCCCCCTGCAGCAGTTTTTTTTCTGAGGTTATGAAAAATTCCTGTGGCCTTTCCTCAGTCATGAGGATATGAGGATGACAGCTAACCTTACATGGTGCTTACTCTGTGCTAGCACTGTTTTAAGTGTTTAAATTTATTAACTCAGCTCTCCCAACAACCTGTGAGGTTGGGACTGTGACTGACAGAGAGCTTAAGCGTTGTATTTCATCTGTTCTGTGACACAGTTTTTATATTACAACACCTGGACATTTAAGATATGTTACAGTTGTTGGCATCCTAGTTATACTTGGCAACATTCTTCTTGTACATAAATTAATGGTCCATTTCTCATATGTCACTAGCCCGAAGTCGGGCAGTCCTCAAGTGGCGACTGGGGTTTAAACTCTTGCTTTCTGGCTACAGCGGCTTCCTTCAACCACTAGGCTGTTCTGTCCTGGAAGGAACAGAAAGGCTGAGATTTCAAGGCCAGGAAGGCAGTACCTTCCCCACATCCCAGGGCAAAGCTTTTCTTCCTGGGCTATGATTTGAGGTCAGGTCCAGGGAACTGGTCCTAACTGGGAAGGGTGGCAGCCCCCAGAGACATTGTCAGAGTGAGCCAGGGTGTCTGCGGGTGCCCAGCTGCAGCAGGCTCATCCCGGGGCAGGGAGTGGAGAGAGGTGACCAACTCCTAAAGCTGCCCTGGACAAGGCCATCCTCCCCGCCTGCAGCCCTCCACCCTCCCCTGAGGGGTGAGTGAGCACAATCTCTGGTCCCCAGCCCCCATTTCTGGTGTCCTCTGAATACCCTCAGCCCTGCCCACCAGTGTCACCCTGCAGGGTGGGCTGTGAAGGCTCCCTGAGCATGGTGAGAATGCGTTTGACTTCTGGAATGTCAGGATTATTTGGCCTTTCTCAACGCATTTCTGAAAGTGCCCAGGGTATCTGAAGGATGGAAGCATTGGGCCTTGTCATTGAGTTTTTCAAATTCCCTTTGGCTACACTGAGGAGTGTTTGGCTTTAACTTGAATTTCTTTTCCCACTGCACGTCCCCACCCCAGGACTATGGTCTGTTTTGTTTTTCCCACCTGTGGAGGGTGTCAGCAGCACAAGAGTGAAATTCCAACTTTCATTTGCTACGGAGACAACCAGCCCTGGTGGGAGTCGGCCGCCCTCAGGCTCTTAACTTGGGGCAGTTGTTCAGTTTCAATCTACCTCAGTGAAAACAGCCTTTTATGTTAGAAATTAAGAAACATATACAGGTTCGTAGATTTTTGAGAGCCAAAGTCCCTCCTTCCTCTCTGAAATGGCAGCAGGAAGCGGGTGGAGCCCCCACAATAAGCCCCGGAGCTGGACTTCCTGACACATACACAGTACAAAGCATAGAAAGTGAGAGTATAGTTATGGAAAGAAGTTATCCCAATGATTATAGGGATTTAACTCCCTTTTCACCTAAGCTCTCAAGGCCTCCCTATTTCATAGCCTCAGGGGTTGAAGAAATTGAGGTCTCTAATGAATTGCTTCTCCTGGAGTTGTGCAGTGCACAGCCTGTGAAACTGTACATGCCAGTCCTGTAAACCTTCTGCCAGACAGCCCTCCTCAAATCTAGTTTCGGCTTCTCAACAGACTGACCTGAGTTAATTTAATCTCTGATTTCCTCTAAAAGCAGGAAAACTGCCTCAAGTCTATCTTACATAGTTCTGAAGGGGCTTACATGAGAGAATGAACATGGACTGAACTTGGGTACTGAGTGTTGGGGGAGGCTGTCCTGCAGGGGGTGGGTCTTTCTGGGAGAACTAGGTATGTGGCCCAGGCTGAGTGCCTTCAGGTCGGGGACTCCTTCCTGGTCGTGGTTAGTCTGCCCAGGCCAGTCGAGGGCTGACTTCTCTGGGCAGTCACTGCAGAATGGAACGTCTCTGGAGAGGGAATTTTGAGTCTCTGAGCCTTTGGGATTCAGGGAAGGCAATGTCCTCCAGCAAGTCTTGAAAGGGGATGGCCATCAGTTGTAATAATTTATTTTAATACTTACACCCAGTGGTGTGCTCTCCACTGTTTGACTTCCATCTCTCTGGGGAGAACTCCCTGACAGGTCGCGTTTGCCAATTTCTGTGGTGTAAATGCACCCACCGCGGCTGACTTCAGGCCAGTGTGGAATTGGACTGTGATGTGCTCAGCTGGCTCCCGGGAGCTGGTGAAAGCTGCCAGCGCACCGCTGCCTTCACTGCTCTCATCTTCTTGACAGGGAAGGATAAAGAGGTACTTGAGGTGAGCAGGTGGATACAGATAATTAGAATTCTGAGCTCGTTGGTAAGGGGTAGGGGTGGGAGCTCCGGGCTCCTCTGGCCGCAGCTCATCACTTCACAGCTGGGGAAGCCTAGGCTCCCTGAGTCCCATGTTCACGGATCTGAGAGTATCCTCTACCAGCAGACGAGTAGGTAAGACAGTTTGTAGGCACCCAGGGTTGAGATCAGTACGCACCTGGCTGGGGAGAGAACTCCGAGGCCGAGCAAACACAGAGAAAACCCAACACAGAAAATGCCCAGCATTGTCCCTGAATGAACCATTGTGTCTGCCCCTGACTCATCGGGACTCCAGCGCCCGCCCTTCCCAGCCAGATGATGGACGACAGGTGGCCACAGATGAGACTTGGACCCTGGCACTGCAGGGGTCGGAGTTTCTCCTGGGAAGCTCTGACTTGGAGCTGGGCTTTGAGGGAGAGGATTTCTACATTGATATTGAGGTTTTGGAGGCTTTTTAAAATTGTGGGAAAATATACATAAGATAAAATTTACCATTTTAAGCAGTTTTAAGCACACAGGTCAGTGGCATGAAGGACATTCGCACTGTTGTGCAACCATCACCACCATCCGTCTCTTGAACGTTTTTCATCTTCCCAGACTGAAGCCCTGTCCCCGTGAACAAGTATATATATCGAGTTGGTTGCATTCCGTTGCCCCACGCTGCACACTCAGGCTGCCTCTGTGTGCGGGTGTGACCTCTCCTGGTTGTGGCGTGTCGTTTTGGCCTGTGACCCATTTCTTGCTCTCACCCCCTCCTCACCTGACTCTGGCCAGCAACCTCTCACCCAGGCATGGTCTTGCTTGGGCCAGAGCACTGGAACCAGAGTGTTGGAGCTGGAAGGGACGGGGAGCCCATCTGGTGCCCAGAGAGGGCCTGGGACTTGTCTGAGGCCCCAGAGGCCATTGGAGGCGTGCAGAGCCCAGAGCCCCGTCTTCTGAGGCCAAGGCAAGCTTGGCTTTTGTCTTCGCCTTGCTACAAGGCCCTAACTGGTTTCAAGCCCCTGGACTCAGCCTTGACTAATGACTTCTGAGACATCGCCACCCCCGTCCCAGGTCCAGTTTACTTCTGGGCCGTGAGAAAATTGATCCTGGGTTACTGGAAACACAGCTTGGATCCCGTGCTCAAGGTGACGGCAGAGGGGATTTCTCACACGCTGGGGTCGTCGGCGGGAGGGGGGGGAGCGGGTGGCACGTCCCACCGGCCTCACTTTTACCCCTAGAGACGCCTTCTGTGTGGGATCACAGGCTAACAGCATCCTCACGGTACCACCCCCAACCCCTGTGTCCTGCAGTGCATGAGAGCACGGGGGCTGTTACACAGATGGGTAGACAGGGTGATGCCAGGGCTGGAGTGACCCCTGCCAGGCTGAGCAGGCCAGGCAGGCCCCCCTCCTGCAGGGACGGAGGCCTAGGGCTGTTCTTCTGGGGGTCACAGAGACTGTCCACGGTGCAGGACATGGTTAGATCTGAGGAGAACAGCTTCCAAGCCCTCCACTCCTTCCAGGAATCGGTTTGCCTAAACATGTCCTGTGATGAGGGGCCGGTTTCTCACCCTCTCTGTTCCATCCACGGCCACCCGTCTGCTGTCTTACCTTTCCCCTGCACGGAATCTCACCGTGGTGAGCTGCTTCGGAAGTAAATGCCTCTAGGGTGCCAAACACAGGGACAGTTCAGGATACTGTCAGCAGTTGAGGAAGCCAGTCACCTCAGTGACTAGGTAGCAGGTTTGTCGACAAGCCAGGTGATAGTCCGTTGTTTGCCTTCCACAAAATGGAAGTAATTGGGGCATCAGCTGACAGCATTAACAGTGATTTTGTTGATAGAGTATTGTGATTTTTTTTAACGTGTAGCTCAGAAGGATTTTGAAGGGTTGAGTGACATTTCTATAATGAAGCTCTTTCTGTTCCCACCTATTTATTAATGTGAACGAGGTCTCTTAGTGTTTACTGCTATAAAAGTGGAAGATAGAACTAGACTTGATATAGAATCTATTGACAGTTTCGTTCCATCAATAAATAATATTTATCCATGAACGGTAAGTCCCATCCATCCCATTAAGAGAAGCCTTTCCGACAAATCTTTACTTTTTCTGTTAAACAATTATTTAACAAAAATGTTTCGTTTACCTCGTTTGACCAATCGTGTACTAAAAATCATTGCCTGAGTGATAACTCAAGCCAGAAGCCACTCTGTTTGGAGACGTGGAGCTGCAGAATCAAATTGCTGTACAATATGGTCAGGTGAAGCACAAAATGTGACATTAGGATGAAGTTCTGCGGGGAGAGTGCACTGGAAATACGAGGGAAAATCCCGTCTGTTAAAGAAGATCTTGTTCATGGATTCCTTTAAACAATAGATGATGTGAGTATGAATCACCGTCTAGATTCCACCGGATGCTGGTAAAGAGGCCCACAATGGTTTTACATGTCAGCATTTAGCACATGATGGAAAATATATCACTCACAACCACTTAAACTAATAGTGAACCCTTCTGGTGTCAATTTGAAAATGAGCGAGAGGTGCATTGGTCAACCACAGTTCTTAGAGAGACAACAGCCGAAGTTGTTGAAGGCCGCTGGACCTTATGGCCAGGTGGAGCCTGGGCCAAGGGGAGACCCACGTTTGCATCTTGGTCCAACACAGACCAGCTGTACACCGGGCGGGTGATTCAGCTCCCCGGGGACAGTCTCTTGTGTCAGATAGCGGCGCTGTTAGGCAGGTTGGCCATACTTCTGCAAGGACACGGTTAAGAGCACCGGCTCTGGAACCAGACTTGGCTTGAGTAACTTGCCCGGGTGGGATAGCCAGAAAGTGGATTCGAATCCCACCTCCCCGCTGTGCCACCTCGGGCAGGCTACTCACCCTCCCTGTGCCTCTGTCTCCCTTCCTTTGAATGGGGCTAAAAATGGTACCTCCCTAATGGGGGTGCTGGGAGGAAGTGTGTGGAATGGTGCCCGGTGCACGGTAAGCATCGCCCTGAGGATTAACTGTCACTAAAGTATCTGCTTCCAGCGTGCTCCCACGTGGTAGCTCTTCTTATTCTTCACCCTCTCCTGAGCCCCTCGTCCCAGGACTCGGGAGCCCGATGCCTCGGTGGTGGCGGCCCCTTCCCTTCGCTCTCATATATTTCAAGAGCCTTTTCACGCCTGCAGTTGCACGCCCGCCCCACGCCTCCCCCGGGCCACTGCCCTGCGCAGGAAGTGCGTGCTGTCTTCGGAGCACCCTGGAACTCTTGCCAGGGACTCGGTCCCCCGACGCAGAGGCTGTTGAGGGAGTGGTGCCAGAAACCCACTTCATGACTCGGATGGAGAGATGTAAAGTAGAATTTTCCATGCCTCCCCTGGAGCCCACCCCCTCCAGAGTCTGATCTTGGGCTCACAGCCTAGACCACCAGGCTGTCTTCTGGCCACTGCAAGGGGACAGTTCTCGAACTCTGCTTCACCCCGTGCTGAGCCCATCGGAAGAGGCAGATGGGATGCATGGGCATTGGTTCTAGCACAGGCTGGGGTAGGTTTTGTATTTGTGAGGCTGAAATTTGAGGATGTCAACCCCACATAAACCCCACCTGTCTTCCAGAAACGACGCCTGTTCTGCTTAAGAAACTCAGCCCCCTGACACCTGGCACTGTCCACAGCATAACTGCCTTATTCTTGTTTCAAAATGATTTCCTGATCATGTGACTGGAGACGTGGGATACGAGCCAGTATGGTTGCCTATTGTATATGACCCCCAACCCCCGGTAGGCCTGGTACGAGTGGTGACCTATTTATCAAATGAAGGGCTCTTTAATAAAAACCGGATGTTACCCGACCCCCAGCAGGACTCTTTTTCTCATTCAGTGTGAGGAAGGAGCCTAGCATAAGTGAGCAGTGGAATTGGCAGTCTTAGGGGTCTTAGCAAAGTGTCCAGAGATCTAAGGACGCTGACCACCATTGCTCCGGATAATGACCACTGAACATTTGGAGTAGATCTTGGTGGGATCGGGTCCTTTAAACCTCAGTAGGATGGGAGGAGTGTGCTCTGGACCAGAATCACACCAGCCCCTAAAGGCTAGTTACCCAAGTTATCTCCTGGGCCTTCTCCTGAAAAAGGGGACTATGGGGCAGTGTCCCCACTGTCCCCAGAGTAAAGCATTGCCTTGGAACGGAAGACAGCCGTGGATGGTGTGGTGGCATCCCCGGAGAGGGGTGTGTCCTCCTCCTGGCAGTGGGGTCCGCACTGGTTGGGGTAACCTTTCACCGGGGGAGGGGAGGCTCGAGCTGCTCTCTCATTGGCCTATTTAGGAAGTGTTCATCAAATACTTGCCGTATGCAATGCCAGGATGCTGGGATATGACAACCAAACAGAGCCCTGCCCCTAAGGAACCCCCAGTCTACTGGGGGACACACGCAGGGAAGGAGGCTGTTAGCTTTGTGTGTGACGAGGGCTACCACTTAGCCCTTAGAAGGGACACCCAGCAGTGTCTTGGGAGAGCAGGGAAGCCTCCCTGGAGGAGGTGCTGCCGACCTGGCCCCAGAAGGGTGGAGAGGAGTTCTCCTGGGAAGGGGGCTGGGTAGAGGCGTTGGGAAGGCTCTTGCTGGTCTAGAGGCTGAGGGTGGGAAGGTGACTGGGGAGGGAGTTGAGGAAGGCCTCGCTGGCAGAGGCCCAGGGGTGCAAGGGCGTATTTGAGGAGCTGCAGAGACGGCCTGTAAAAGCTGCTGGACCCTGGGCACTGTGTGTGGGAAGGGGCAGGAGGTGGGCAGGAGTGGCTCGGACCTCCCAGATGTTCCCACTTCAGCCCTGTGGGCAAGTGGGAGCCTGGAAGGATTTCAGCAAAGGAGGGAGGTCTGCGATCAAGCAGGTTTGGGAGGCCGCTCCAGCGATGGAGCTTGGAGGACTGAGTCCGGCTGGGGCCCTGAGGATTCGTGGGGAGGGTGGATTTGAGAGGCTTGAGGTGTGGGGCTGGGAAGGCTCCAGGCAGGCATATCCTTAGACTCCGGAGGGCAGCAGGACCACCTGGGCTTGGTAAGCGCAGCCTGCTGGCCCGGCCCCAGAGGCCTGGGTGGTGCCGAGAATTCACATTTCTAACAGGCTGCAGGTGACACTGCCGCTGCTGGACAGGGGCTGGGCTCTGGAACCACGGCTCCAGGCTTCGGGCTCAGGTGACAGGGCGTACCCCTGAGCCATGGAGTTTAGGAAGGCGAGGTCTGGGGGATGCAAAGGCGAGAACAGGAAGTTGCGTGGTTGCAGCTGAAAGCCCGGCTGCCCATCACCCGCGTCACCGCCAGCCGCTCTGCCGCCCGTGATCCTCAGCCCCCATGTCTCACTCCCTTCCAGGTGGCACCTCCCTGAGCTTCCTGGTTTTGGTGACGGGCTGCACATCTGTGGGCAGAATTCCAGAGGCCGAAATCTACAAAATCACCGCCACCGACTTTTACCCACTTCAGGAAGAGGCCAAGGAGGAGGACCGCCTCACAGCCTTGAGGAAGATCCTCAACTCAGGGGTCTTCTACTTCTCGTGGCCCAGTGATGGGTCTTGCTTCGACCTCACTGTCCGGGCACAGAAGCAGGGCGATGACAGCTCTGAGTGGGGCAACTCCTTCTTCTGGTGAGGCCCTGGGGCCCGGGCTCTCCTGCCCACAGCTTACATGGAGGGCGGGCTCCGATGGGCGCCTCCGTCCTTGATCTCCACTTTGCATCATCCCCGGCACGTGGGTCACCTGTGAGAGCTGTGATCTGTGCCCGCTCACTCTCCACACAATGAGAGGCAAACAAGCCCCACTCCCCACCAGGGGTCAGGGAGGGAGCTCAACATGGTTTAATGCAGACTTAGGAAGGAAAATCTGCTCCATAAGTAAAGAGCACAAGTGGCAGCATCTCCCGGTTTCTCCCAAGTGCCTGGGCCTGTGCTCAGTGCTTCCCTGGCCCCTGGTCCCCTCAGTTCTCCTGGTTATCCTCCAGTGTACAGACATTTACCACCGACATTTATAAAGCACTGTTCTAAGTTCTCTGGGGGTCATAACTCACATAATCCACATAGTAACCAATGAAGTAGGGTCTGTTATCCTCATTTTACAGGTAAGGAGACTGAGGCTTGAATAACAGAGGGAATTTGAACCCAGGCATCTGGCTCCAGATCCCATGCTGTTAATCACGAAACCAAACCAGTTGTATCAACGGCAAAACTGAGTCATCCTGCCAAGGTGGTGTGCAGTAGTGTAAGACAGACCTGAAGCCCAGGCAAAAGTGGTTGGGTTTCTGTATGTTTAGGGTCATCTGGGCGCTCCTTCAGGGACTAGCCAGTGTGGATGACCCTATAAATATGTCAATTATCTCCCTTTCTGGGCTCCAGGGGTCATGACCCCCCCCAGTCCTGTGAAAGAGCCAGGGGGGTACAGTGATTCACATGCAATGGAGCTGTTCCCCTCAGATTTACCAGGAGATGAGAGTCAGAAGCAAAAGTGATGAAAATCCTGCTGTAGAAATTGTTCCAGTACACCTCACATAATGAGGCGTTCCTCGATTCCAGCGGTGGCCTTTGGGGCTACCCCAGTTTCTAGCCCTGAGTCAGGACGGATGAGGCTTCTTTGTGCCCTTTATTTATCCATCCCTCCTTTACCCAAACAGAGGAGGTCATAGGTTTCCATCACCAGATAAGTGTACTTTGCTTGGTGCTTGGGACTCCCACAAGTGAGTTCCTGACTTCCATTTGGAGAAAGAGGGTTCACCATATCCTTCCATGTGTCCCCATACTCCCTGCCCCACCAAATCTTCTTAGGTTCTCTGGTTTTGTTGAGTTTGGGGGGCAGTAGCATGCTCAAACTTCAAGCGTGTGAATCTCCTGCTGATCTTGTTAAAATGCAGATTTTGACTGAGCAGGGCTGGGCTGGGGCCCGAGACTCGGCATTTCTAGCAAGGAGCCAATGGTGACGCCATTGCTGCTGGTTTGAGGACCACACTCTGAGTAACAGGTCCAGGGGATGGTGTGTCTGTGAATCACTGGTTCCATTTTGCAGGTGCACGTGCCCCTGAAGGCAGCTAAGCTCAGGGACACAGGGGCTGTGGGTTATGAGGGGTGTTTGTTAGGCCGGGGGCTCCTTTTCAGCTGGGACTGTCTGATGAGCTGAGGCTAGAGGTCTCAGAGGCTGTAACATTTGTTGGGTGCCTGGAGAATCTGGACTGCCCTTTGTACCTGCTCTTTCCAGGCCTCCTGATGCCAGCTCTGTGGTTGGAGATTTGAGATCCACAAAGAAGACAACGCATAGAATCACAGAGTGAAGGCGGAGAGGGGCTTGGGGAGGGGGAGGCCCCAAGTGGACACTAGACTGTCTTGGGCGCTGGAGGTGCTAGGCTGCTGGGCCATCCCACACTCCAGGGCGTGGTGTTTGGGTTCAGGGCGGCACCCACGGAGCTGACCACAGCTGAGTCAGCCCCAGCTTGCATGGTCACGGGCTTGATGGCCTGAACCCACCATTTTGGGTGCGGTGTTCAAGGTCTGAACCCACATCTGGTGTCAGATGGGGGTCAGCGCTGAACGTGGCTGGTGTACAGCAGGGTGAAGGCATTTTTCTGGGCTGGTTACTGTTCCCCACCGATCGTTGCTTCCTAGTACCATCCAGTCCTGGAAGGAGACGCAGGCTCTTTTCCTTTGTAGGTTTGGGTTTCTTCCTTCAAGGATATGAGCTGTCCTCCCACAGGGGGTCAGGCCAGTGTGACTACAGACAGGATTATTTAGAGCTATCTGTTTGGCAAACGGTTCCTTCTCCTGACCCCTAGTGACTGATGGCAGCCATAGCCGTGTGGCTGGAAGACCCTGGAATATTCTGGAGGCCTTCCTTTGATGCTGATTTCATACGGGGATGACCGAAGATGGTTTATCATCTGAATTTTAGAGAGGGTTTCAGAAGAGGGGAAGGTGTTTTTGTAAAGTAATGCTTCATGCTCATCATTCTTTAGGCAGACCAGCGCCCTGGTGTGAGAGGTCAGGCATGGCCCTGCTCCTGGGGCGGGGGGTGTCTCTTAGTGCCCACGCGGTCACGTCGGGGAGGCTGGCCTGAGAGCAGGGAGTGGCTGCCTCTTGCCACTTAGAGAAGCCGCCTGAGACGTCAGAGCTCACGGCACACTTCTCCAGAAAGGAGAGACCTGCTTAAGGCAGGAATAGTGCTGCCTTTTTTAAACAAATAGGGCATTGTGACCTAGATTAGCTTGCTACCCTGTGGTGGTTCCTGCCTCCTGGGGAGCGTGTTAGGGGCCTCAGAACGGCACTGCTTGGGTCCCCTGGGTGAACTGTGTGGAGCCCGGAAGAAGCCTGAGGCCCGTGCACGCCCTCTGAGCCCCACTTCTCAGAGCAACCACTTACCTGCTCGGTAAGCTCCAGTGGGCGCTGGGGAGGCCGAGCGAGTGAGAGATGAGAGCAGGGTGTGGCCATGCACAGGTGCAGCTGTCAAGGTAGGGCCTTCAGCAGGAGAGGCTCGGGGTGAAGAGCACAGCTCCAACTCCATGCTACCGCTTCCTGGCACCGTGACCTTGGGCGAGTACTTCTCTTCTGTGCCTCAGTTTCTTCATCTGTAAAATGGGGTGAATGATAACACCTGGTACACAGGGCTGTTTCAAGGATGAAGTGAGTTGATCCGTCCCGAAGCACTTAGAACGGTGCTCGGTGCCCTTGATAAAAGGTGGCCTTTATCCCCATGATTATCATTGTGGATGCCAGAGACCCAGAACAATCCACTGGGTATGGGGAGGAAGTACTAGAACTTTCATTAGGTTTTATGTTCATCTCATCCCGTTTATTTGTTATCCATTGCTTTGTAATGCTCTCATTACATTCACCTTGTGGGATGTAAAGATAATTTAAGCAAGCATGTAAGCATGCATATATTTAATTATTTTTATGACCTGTCATTTTATCATTTATCACTATCCTGCCGTCATAAAGCATGATTAAATTTTTACCGATGGGATTTATTATCAAAAGCTGCAGAGGCCATCAGTGTAAACAGAGTCTTCTCTGAGATTCCCTGAAAGGCCTGTGACTGACTCACACCTGTACCTGGATTCCATTCACTGATACTGACGCCTGGGAGTAGCTTCAGGAAAGGACTCCTAGCCCTTTCCTGCTGCACGTGTCTCCGTGGCCCTGCCGTTTGGGGTGTCTCTGAAGCACACGCACGTCCCGGGCTGTGTGTCCCGAGTGTGGAGTTCGTGGGGACCCCTGGGCACCTCCCCGACTTGCTTTGGGCACGGTGTTCCCTCGAGGATGTGAGGCGGCCTGAACCGCTGTGGGGCTCTGTTTTGCAGGAACCAGCTGCTGCACGTGCCCCTGAGGCAGCACCAGGTGCGCTGCTGTGACTGGCTGCTGAAGGTCATCTGCGGGGTGGTGGCCGTCCGCACGGTGTACGCCTCTCACAAGCAGGCCAAGGCCTGCCTCGTCTCCCGTATCAGCTGCGAGCGCGCCGGTGCTCGTTTCCACACCCGAGGCGTGAACGACGACGGCCATGTGTCCAACTTCGTGGAGACGGAGCAGGTCAGTGCCCAGGCCGGCCCGTGGCCCCCGCTGGTTCAGAGCAGAGGAACCTGTGCAAACTTGTTTCCGTTGGAGGCGGGGGTGCTGGAGGCGTTTTCTCATGAACGTGGCTCCTCGCTCTCCCAGGAGCACAGAATGTGTCCCTGGGGCTCTGTTTGCAAATGTGGCCTCGGGTTTGCATGCTGTATCTTTTCTTTTAATACATTTATTTATTTACTTATTTATGTATTTTTGGCCGCGTTGGGTCCTCGTTGCTGTGTGCGGGCCTTCTCTAGTTGTGGCGAGCAGGGGCTACTCTTCATCGCGGTGCGCGGGCTTCTCATGGCGGTGGCTTTTCTTGTTGTGGAGCACGGGCTCTAGGCGCGTGGGCTTCAGTAGTTGTGGCACACGGGCTCAGTAGTTTGTGGCTCGCGGGCTTAGTTGCTCCGCGGCATGTGGGATCTTCCCGGACCAGGGCTCGAACCCGTGTCCCCTGCATTGGCAGGCGGATTCTTAACCACTGCGCCACCAGGGAAGTCCCTGCATGCTGTATCTTTTTTGATTCTCTTCTCACGCTGGAAAAGTGTTGCTTACCCAGGGGTATTTTCAGCTAAAAAGAAGGAATTTTTGCCGTGATATCATGAAGGGTGGCGGTTATTCAGAGAGCAGCTGACAAATGAACCAATAGGGTTTGAAAATCTTTTTAAGACAAAAGTAAGTAGCTGAATAATGGCAGGATGAGAGAAGGAAGTTAGTTTTCATTCTAGATCCACTGAAGCTTCCTCCTGGAAGCAAGTCTTAGCAGCTGGGAGTTGTGAAATCTGCATGTGAGGAAGCAGTTGCTTTCAGCTCCGTGGAATAGAACCTTCTGCTTAATTTCTCATTGACTTTTTCCCCCCTAAATTCTGTTCTCATTCCCAGAGATGCTTTCTTACAGCTGCTTTATTTATTATTATTTTTTTGCTAACAGGCGATTTTTTTGCGAACATGCGATGTTATCCTACACAGTAGGATAATACCACCGTGTAGACTAACAGATAGAATAAATCAAAGGATAGCACACGAAAGGCACAGATGTAGTATTGCCGTGGGTGTCAAGCTGCAAGCAGCCCGTGTTTATTTAGTGGTGATGGGACTTTGCATCCCCTCTTAACGGCTGCAGCTGCGACAGGTGTTTCCTACCAGGACTTTAGCCAGTTTAATTCAGCACAGATTTGAGCACTTGCCTTCCGTGTGTGAGCTGGACCTGCCTGGGCTTTCGGAGGGCACAGAGCCGGGAGGGTCCTCTTGGGGTCAGATGCTGGGTAGGGGGATGCCAGTCAGCAGCCTGAAGATGAGCAGAGGGGCAATTTCTTGCCTGTGACTTCAGCTCTCCTGGACATAGACGCGGCTGGTAAATAAACACCTGGTTAAAAATGACAGAGAAAACGAGGCCCCCAGATGGGGGCCTTCCTCACGGTGTTCCATCCCGGTCTTTATCCTTGTGTCATTAGTCTTTGCACCGTTCAATTCATTCCACAGATCTTAATTACTTTTCACCTGCCACAGGCTGAGCGCTGTGCTGGGAAGTGGGGGCCAAAGATGCAAAGCATTTTTGGACAAATCAAAATACCAGAGACCCTGAACCTGGTAACTGAGCGGGATTTAGGTTTCCAGCGGGCAGCCCTGGAGCGAGCCCCTGCGGTTCAGCCTTCGCCCCGTTCCCCATCCCGCCCTCGGGCAGAGAGTACCTTGTTTAGTGCCCCTTAGATTTTTTTGGATTTCAACCAGTTTTTTAAAAATTGGGGTCCCATCTACTGTGTCTTGCCAAGTAAGTCATTGATAAAGCAACTGCCCTCCTTATCACTGTCTGTTCCTAAACGGTAAGACATTTTAACACTGAAAATGTAAGAAGGCGTAGTGGTTTCCTGGAACTGCTGTAACGAGCACCGCAAATGGTGGGAGTGGGGACGTGCTGAAAAGGACTGAAATGTATTGTCTCCCAGTCCTGGAGGCCAGAGCCCGAGATCAGGGCGTGCGCACCGCCGCGCTCCTTCTGAAGCCTCTGGGGGAGGAGCCTTCCCACTGGCAGCTTCTGACGCCCCGTGGTGGCAGCGTCACTCCCATCTGGCTCCAGCACCACGTGGCATCTTCTCCCTTTGTGTGTGTGTTTCTCCCCTTTACATAAGAACACCAGGCATATTGGATTGAGGGCCCAGCCTACTCCAACCTGACCTTTCTTAACTAATTGCATCTGGAATGGCTCTTATCTCCAAGTAAGGTCGCATTCCCAGGTGCTGGGGGTTAGGCCTTCAACATATCTTTTTTTGCGGTACGCGGGCCTCTCACTGTTGTGGCCTCTCCCGTTGCGGAGCACAGGCTCCGGACGCGCAGGCTCAGCGGCCATGGCTCACGGGCCCAGCCGCTCCACGGCATGTGGGATCCTCCCAGACCGGGGCACGAACCCGTGTCCCCTGCATCGGCAGGCGGACTCCCAACCACTGTGCCACCAGGGAAGCCCCTTCAACATATCTTTTTCAGGGGGGCCACAATTCAATCCAACACAAGGACATAACCTGACCTTAACAGGTCAGGACTGTGCTTTCAATGCAGCGCGTTTAGCTTTATGAACAATCTCCCTATTGTCCTTGCTCTTCTCATTTTTCTACAGACTAGGGTTGGGCCTCTGCTCTGGTTGTTCTAAGTGTGCCTGGTGACTTGTGCTTGTCTCCTGCCTGCCCCGTGTACGTGCTCGGAGGCAGGGACCCTGTCCCCTCCAGCAGCGTGCGGCCGGCCCGCGAGGCCTTAGAGCCCGCAGCGCCCTGCCCCCCACTCCTGCAGCCCACCCTGTTACTTAAATTGCCGGCACCTGCCTCCCTTCTTGGGCGCGGGGAGGGGTTTCTTGGCTCCTGTGAGCTTTGTGGGCTTCCGGGTTTGTGCTTTTCCTCCCTTTCTTCCTCCGGGCTGCTCTCTGGATGAGGCCCTCGCCCCGACCTTGCTCCCAGGAGCAGCGGGTGAGCTGACAGTCAGCCAGACATCACCAGCTGCTGTCCTGCCGGGACCCAGAGGCTGCAAGTGAGCCCCACGGTGATTTCGTTTTCACAGGCACACGTGGGGCAGGAGGTCGTGGGCTTGCACCCAAAGCAGTTCCTCGTGGGGCGCGTGTGTTTCAGTCTGCTCCCCAGGGACCCCGTGCTCTCCACCACGGGAGGGAGGAGCCGGACGAGTCACACCAGCAGGGCCCCCAAACAGCGTGACCGCCCTGGTGTGTGGAGGAGAAGGTGACCCCAGGGGAGGGGTCATTTCCCAGAGCCGATACAGGGGTGTCCTCGTCGGCAACACAGATGCACGTCCTGAGCCCCTCGGCTGAGTCTGATCGGGAGCCTGCCGGGTGGGGGCACAGCAGGGAGGAGACAGACCAGCTGGCCCTCGGGGGTGCCTCCCACGGTGAGTGGTCAGTGCTCAGCTGTGAGCCTCCTACCTGGAGAGAGAAGGAAAGACAGCAGAGCAAGTGAGGGCAGGGAGAGGCCTGTGTGCTAGCGGAGGACCCTGCAAGGCGGGGAGTCTTGGAGGAGGACCCTGGGAGGTGGGGAGTCTTGGAGGAGGACCCTGGGAGGTGGGGAGTCTTGGACGAGGACCTTGGGAGGTGGGGAGTCTTGGAGGAGGATGCCTGGAGGTGGGGAGTCTTGGAGGAGGACGCTGGGAGGTGCGGAGTCTTGCAGGAGGGCCCTGGGAGGTGGGGAGTCTTGGGGGAGGACCCTGGGAGGTGGGGAGTCTTGGAGGAGGACGCTGGGAGGTGGGGAGTCTTGGACGAGGGCGCTGGGAGGTGGGGAGTCTTGGAGGAGGGCGCTGGGAGGTGGGGAGTCTTGGACGAGGACCCTGGGAGGTGGGGAACCACGGAGGGAGAGGGGGACACAAGGCATCGCCTGCTTCGTGACCTGGCATTTAGAGAAATGGCAGGATCTGAAACCTCATGTCTGCACCTGAGGGCGCAGGCAGCAACTTGAGGACATTGGCACTGAGCCCGCGGCAGGAAGGAGCATTGGCTGGGGCAGCTTGGCCCCTCTTGTGTTGCCTGCAGGTCACCTCCGGCCTGTGCCCTCTTCTAAGGGACTGAGACCTTAGCCACTGGGGAGGGGAGGTCCTGTAGCAGAGGCACGAGGGCGGCTGACGGGCTGCTTGCCTCTGTCATTCAGACTAGCGATGGCGCGAGACGGAGCAGGCTGGATCCCTGATGTGGAGGCTAACTCTCAGGGAGCCAGAAAAGGGAGGTGTTTTCAAACCATCCACTCCTGCCTTGCTTTTATGTTTTTCCCTAAGAGAACAGTCTTTCTCCTCCAAGGCAGGCTGTGTATGTGTGCACGTTTGTGGGTAGGGGGTTTTGTGTGGGCATGCAGGCATATGTGTGTTGTGTATTTGCTCGTGTGCACACACGTATATGTTGTGTGCACATTTGTGTTGTGTAGATGCATGTGTGCGCAGGTGTGGACGGCATCTTGGTCTCCCTGGGCGGAGTCTGCAGTCTTTTCGGCTCTGCTGGGAGTCCCACCTGGTGGGCCCGCTCTGCCGCCATGACTCGCGGCACAGAAAGTCCCCTCATTTACCCAAAACAAAAGATAACGATTTGGCTACTGAAGATAAGGCCACTGATTCATCAGGGAGGTTAGGATGACCGTGAGTGTCCTCCCGAGAATGCAGACCTGGAAGGAATTGGTTTGCAAACACCTCATCCTGGACCAGAAGTTCAGCAAAAAGCCTTTTGGAGAAAAGTGTCTCTATCCAGTGGCGAGGCTTCCTGCTTTGTCCCTTTCTCGTTACGGTTGTTGGGCTGCTGTTCCCCCACTCTGTGAAAGGGGCGCGCTCGGTGCCAGGCCTGGCCTCGAGCCACACGCCGCGGTGGCTCCCCCTTCCTGAAGCCCCTCCTGCTCTGCGTTTCCCTCCCACCTCTGTCTGTCCCCTCCTAGATTCCCTCTCCTGCCCGCGGCCTGAACCCTGTTCCCATGTTCTGTGGGGCAGGAGGCTTCCGACCTGAACGGGAAGGAGTGACCGCCCTGGGCCCCAGAACGCTCCCTCCTTTGCTTCACGGCACGTCACCCCTCTGTGATCAGGTGATGCTAACTCCGTTGAGAGAGGGAAACCGAGGCAGGAGGTGGTTAAGGAACAGAGCCTGGGTCACCCCGCTGGGCAGAGGGGAGTGGGACCCGGGTCGGTGGTGTCCCAGAGCTCACGTGCTGACCTGCGTCCATCCTGTCTCTCCTCCCCCAGGGCCCCCAAGTGCCCTCTGTTAAAACTACCTCTGTGAGGTCAGGCCAGGTGTTGAAGCTCCCACTAGTTTTAAAACCTGTGCTCTTTCGCCCAGAAAGGAAAGCACTTTAAATCCATCACTACTGTGTGATGATGGGGGTTGTCCTACCACCTTGGGAACAAAGAGGTGGGTGTTCCTGATGATAGGGTGGGCACAGAACTAGAATATTTTCATGTGGGAGGAGGAATAGAGAAATTTGGAGGCATCTTTTCTTTCTGCCCCGGGGGTGGGGTCCGGAGTGCTGGGACTGCTTGTCGGTGTTTTTCTGAAGCTGGTTCTGTGTTAAGTTCCAGCTCAAGAGGGGCGTGGTCTAATGCCGGAAGTAGTGCCTTTAGCACGTATTAAGTAAAGTGAAGGGTAATTGTTCCTTAGCTTCCGTCAGGTCCTGGGCACTGTTATGAGTTGTCTTTACATAGAGATATTGTCTGAATTGGTGACTCTCAGCAATCTGGACACAGGCAGAGAGGCTGTATACCTTTAATCTCGCTGTAGCCTGTGCTCCCTGCAGTAGCTTAAATAACCGCTACTTTCTTCTGCTTTTGTCAGTGGAATAATGGAGCGTAACCAATTTGCTGGTGATCAGTATCTAAAAACAGACGAGTTCTTCACCCAGTACATTTTTTTCCTTTGGAGATTAAAGGATAGAGTTTCAGCTCAACATTATTACTCCCAGGCTCATGTAATTCCTGAAGTTCAGGGAACCTTCAGGTCTAATATTCAGGTCCTCCACTGCAGAATTACTAATGCATGTGTGATCTGAGCGTGATCTAGCCGCATGGAAAGCTACCCTGTAAGGGAGCAGGCCGCTAAGAAATGGAAAGGGCCAGTAGCATCGCCTGAGGCCAGCCCTGCCAGGCCAGGGTAGAGTTACTCAGATAAAGGGCAGCATCCGATAGCTGCCGCAGCCCTCACCCTCGTGATGCTGGGGACTGTACTTTTTGTCCCTTTAGACCTCCCTGGCACTAGAGCATCAGTAAGGGCCTGTAGATGGGTGAGGAGTTGGTACAGCCTGGAAGAACTGTGTGTTGGGTAGGAAGGAGATACATTCCTTAACTTGTGAAGGATGGTCTGTGTCTGTGCAGGTGCTGTCACCCTGGAAGTTTGTGGAGGCTGTGTGTGTGTGTGTGTGGACTCCCTGACACGTTCAAGAACACAGTGGTGTAGGGCCAGGACCAACTGTGAGTTCAGGTCAAGTCTTGACTTGCATTGTCAAGTGCAGGACCGACTAGTGCAGCTAACTAGGGCTTTGGGCTACAGCTGGTTTATTTCATTTCCTCCAGTCCCTTTCCAGTTGCTGTCTGCTACTTCGCCAGTTGACAGGGTGACAGTAGAGGGCTCCCAGGAAGGTCTTAGTTAAATCCCAGAGCCCATTTGCCTCTGTTCCTAAAATTGGTGGGGAGGGGACTGCTGGGCTTTTCGGGGAGGTCGCTCAGGTTGTGGGATTTCCATCCACCCGCACCCTCCTCCTCAGAGGCTGGGGGGCAGCGGAGCAAGCCTGTGAGCGCCGGCCGGCCCGCGGGGCGGGGAGCGGCTCGGCCAGGCTGGGAGAGGGGCAGAGGGCGCTCAAGCCCGCTGTCGCCCTTCGCTCTGGCTGGTGTCGGGTCTCAGCAGCGGATCCCGTTACCCGGCCCCAGGACAGTCGGTTTCATTGAAGAATACCTTCCCTTTCTGTCTCCTTGTGCCACAGATGATTTACACGGGCGATGGAGTGTCGTCTTTTGTTCAGATCAGGGGCTCCGTTCCGCTGTTCTGGGAGCAGCCAGGGCTTCAGGTAGGTAATAAAGAGCCTGTCCCGTGTGTCAGTGTTCGCGCACTCTCCTCTTCTAAACGGCTGTGAGTTGTTTCTTTTAGTCATATTTCTTTCATGGCAGTTTCTGGTCTTTTTCCCCAGCCCAGTTGGATTGAACTGAGTGGTCACAGTGTGTGTGCACGTCTGTGTGAGCGTGCACGTGTGTGTGTGCGCGCGCGTGTGTGTGGTGTCGTACACAGAGACATATACGTTGTGTGATTTTCCGATCTCGAGCTCACTGATGACACTGGTGAGGTGGAAGGTCTTTGTGGTAAGTGGACCACATCGTGTGATTGCAGTTACCTTCATTTAGACCCAAGTTCAGTGTGTTGAGAGCGTGGCCTAAGATGTCTTTTTTTCTTTTTGTGGTACGTGGACCTCTCACTGTTGTGGCCTCTCCCGTCGCGGAGCACAGGCTCCGGACGCGCAGGCTCAGCGGCCACGGCTCACGGGCCCAGCCGCTCCACGGCACGTGGGATCTTCCCGGACCGGGGCACGAACCCGTGTCCCCTGCATCGGCAGGCGGGCTCTCAACCACTGCGCCACCAGGGAAGGCCCCCTAAGATGTCTTTAGAGAGTTGCGACTCTCCTGAAAAGCTTTGAAAGGTTTTGGGGGCCCCAGCGGCCGTGTGGCAGGTCCGGCGTTTGGAGGTGCTTGTTGTGGGACCGCGTGCGAACTGCACGGAGCTTTCATGTGATTTCTAAAAATACTCCTTGCCGTCCCAACAGGGCACTGGCCGGTGCCAGAGGTATTTGGCCTTCTGTCTCCTGGGACGAGTTCAGGGTGTGGGTCCAAGAGCACGTCTGTCGTCAGTGGAGGGGCACACTCCTTTCCTACCTGGGAGGGTCACGGCCGAGGGGACCTGATTCCTCCACACCGATCCCGGTCTTCCTGCCTGGCTGGAGGGGACGTGGGTGCCCTCAGGAGACCACTGTGCCCGGGCCTGCGTCGCCTTGGCTCTCCTTCCCGAGCGCTCTGTGTGACGGTGGCTGGGTCACCAGCCGGTGGCTAGAGAGGCCCAGGGCCACCTGCCAGGCTCTTGGAGTGTTTGACGCGCTGGGTCTCACCCGCCCTTGACTTGACCCAGCCTCAGCCATGGGCACTTTGTCCTCATGCTGTCATCGTGCAGTTGGAAGCCGTGGAAAGGAACCTTGTCAGCCCTTAGATGAGACGGGTGGATGAGTGTCTCAGTTCTGTGGGCAAAAGCTCAATTAACATTCAGTGTTTCCACGAGAAAGGAACAGCTAAGACGTGTGCCACAGCTGATGGCATTAAGTGGTGGCAGAGGTGCACCCCTGAGGATGGGTGGAGATCTCCTCTGGAGGCCATCCCAAGAGAGCTTTGTTTTTAAACAGCTCTATTGAGATATAATTTGCATACATAAAGCTCACCCATATAAAGTGTACAATACTATGGTTTTTAATGCATTCACAGAGCTGTGTAACCATCACCATAACCTAATTTTAGAACACTTTCATCACCACTAAGAAAACCATGGACCCATCAGTGGTCACTCCCCATTCCCTCTCCAAGGCCTGGGCAACTGTTCTACTTTCTGTCTCTATAATTTGCCTATTCTGGACATGCTCAAAGGGGTTTTGAAAGTTGATTTTCTTTAGATTTGGAGTTTTCCTTTGATTTGTAAGAAACCCCAAAACTGGGAGGTGGTCATGATAGAGTATTAGAATTTGGGAAGGACCCTTTGAAATTCATCTGTTTTACCCTCTCACGCAGTTTGGGATGGCTCCATTATTATTATTATTAGCTAGTTTCTCCTTGCTTTGCACACAGTCTGTCTCTACAGGGTGTTCCAGGGGACGTGCCACACAAAGTCTGAATTCTCAGACCTTCAGGAACCTTCGTGGTTCCCCCTTTCTCCATTTCGTCTTCTCCAGGGCCTTCCTTTGGCCATTTCTGTCTTATTTCTAGGACTCTCCACACTCTGGTCTCCCTCTTCTAAAAACAAGACAAAACTTGTCAGTCCCCTCTTTAATTTTGGTCTCCAGCTTGACTCCTCTGGTGTTCCAGACACAGCCTGACCCTGCATTGGAACAACTGTCCCCCACTCTGACTTGGGTCAGCATCCATGGACCTTGGGTGGCCTGCTTTTCTGTAGCTGTAGCATCTTTTAGACTCATAACACTTGTTAAGCCTCTTCCACAGCCTCCATGGTTTCTTCAAAATAAGTTTCAAAAGGCTTTAGCGTTCATGAATCTTAAGGATTTGCTAACCTTTGGGTTTAATACCCGTGTTTATCCTCTAAATACAATCCATCATCAAAGAGAGATGAGGTCATCTTCCTAGGGCACAGGAGGGCAACTTTCAGTCACCCTACCCGAACTATCAATAGCAAGCCTGATGATCAACCCTGGTTGTTTTTCTCTATTTTGAAAAATTCCCCCTCCTTCTTCACTTAGGTTAGATGAAAAGTGCAAAGATTTAGGGGTAGATAGCTTGCTTTTTAAGTTGCAGTGTTGCGCCTTCGCCCTTTTGCAGTTACCCCAAGGGAATGGATGAGCCCCGCCGGGGTTGGGGCACGGAGGTGCGCAGAGAGGACCGTGGGATGACGATTTGTCTGCACGTTATCACGGGCATAGCACCTTCATTACAAACTCCTGGATCCTGACTGCGTTTCCAGCAACCATGTACCTTTAGCAGTTCATCTTTATCTTGTTAATAGGTTGTGCAGATTATAAATAGCCTTAGTTTACTCTTCTGTAAAATGGGATTGACGATAACAATCTCCTAGGGTTATGGAGAAGATTAAATATCATAGGATGTATTAGAATTTAGCTCAGTATCTAGAATCTAAAAAGTACTAAAAATGGTGGCTGTTGATGGTATTAATAACGTAAGTTATAGCATCTAAGAGACAAAAAGCACAAGTTGCGTTTGCATCAGGAGAAGCACGGCTCTTTGCGTCCTGCAAGCGGAGTAGGAGTTTCCCGTGAAGGCCCCATGAGGACACCATGCGGTGTAGCGACAGTGTCCTCACATTTTTGCATTCATGTGCGGCACAAGCACCAGTCTCCTAGGCTCTTCCACTTCCCAGCCCTCATACACACCCCGGGGGAAGCCATTTATTCATCCCACAGACACTCATCAAGCCCCTGGTACATGCAGGCACCTGACATCAGATGTCGCCCCCGACTTCGGGGTGGAGGTGACAGGACATAACAGTGTTGTACGAATAGAGCTGGGAGAGAGGAAGGCTGAGATCCCTGTGGCGGCTCTGGGGACGGACAGTCCACTCAGGCTGCAGGGCTGGGTGTCTGAACTGACCTGAGAGGGATTGGGTGGAATCACCCACGCCAGGAAGGCAGCCTGCAGAGGGAACCACGGATGCAGGTGTTGCAACCGCTGCATCAGAGCACATCTGGGGACCTGTGCTGGCTCTGCTCCCTGCAGCCCGGGCATGGGGGACAGGGGTCGTGGTGAAAGGTGAGACTAGAGAGGCTGGCGAGGCCCAGATGAACATGGGCTTTGTATGTTACGCTAAGGAGTTTGACTTTTACCCCGGTAGTGCTCAAACTGCTGCACGTTAGAATCACCTGGGCAGCTCATAAAATTCCTGGCGCTCGGGGAGCATGCCATCCCAGTTACATCAGCACATCTGCAGGTGGGAGCAGGCATCAGTACTGTTTTGAAGACCCTTAGATGACTCCAGTGTGCAGAAGGCTTGGGAATCACTCAAGGTTATGCTGGTAAAACAGTTATTTTGGGGCCAGGAGGGAGAAGTTTTGGTTTGTAGCATTTGCCCATTTCTGTGGTGTAAATACTCCCATCAGAGCTGATTTCAAGCCAACAGCTTGAACTCGGAGCTGGGAAGAGGTGTGCATACCGTGGCTTGTGAGCCGGAAGGAGCTGGCTCTGCACGCTCTGGACGCTGTGCTAAAGGGTTCAAGGGGTGGGTGATGAGGCCTAAGTAAGCTTTGGAGTTTGGAGGAAGAAGATGAAAGGTAAGGATACCAGGTAGGACGGTGGCATGGATCCAGATGAGAGATGCTGGCGGCTTTAACTAGGGGAGGCCGTGGAGGGGGAGGGAGAGGTTCAGAGATGCCATCTGTGGCCCTGGGACCCTCTCAAGTGCTCAGGGAGGCTCTCTGTGGACTCAGCCAGGCATTATTCTTCCAACCACTCCAGGCTCAGCCTGGAATCTTTGGGATTGAACCTCTGACTTTAGGGACCAGACAGAAGTGAGTGGCCAAGTGTCCACCTGGCCGGGGGAGGAGGGAGACTAAAAAAAGCAGCGCGGTCAGTTCCTGTGTGCCGGAGCCAGCAGTGGTTTCATTTCAGCCCCGCGTGAAGCTGCTCCCTGAGTCTCTGACAGACTGTGGCCTCAGGACTAGGTGACACCAGAGAGGAGAGATTCAGGTCAGTGTCGGGACGTGCAGCCTTAGGCAGCTGGACTAACGGGTTGTCGAGCTGATGGACGAATGACCTCCCGGAGAGTGTCCGAGGCCCCCCTTCTGCCCACGCCCCGTCCACTTAGGAGGCGGGGGGACATGGCTGTGGGCAGGGTGCCCTGTGTGCGGGTGTAGACACAGACCCCCGGGCTGCTCTTGTCCCGCTGCCTTGTCCCCTCCCAGGCATTCAAACCCCCAGCAAAAAGGGAACGACGACGATGATTAGGTAGAAACCAGCACCTCTCAGACTGTAGCATGGGGGGCGTGTGTGCATATGTGAGCCACCTTGTGCAGGAGTCACCTGGGGACTTGTTAAAGCACAGGTTCCTGGCCCCACCCCCAGAGACCTTCATTCAGTAGGTCTGAGGTGGGCCCTCAAATCTGCATTTCTAACAAGCTCTCAGGGCACACTGATGCTGCCGGTCCGGGGACCACAGTTTGAGAACCACTGGAGTCAGGGATCCTTTCTGCCCATTTACGGCCCTGGTTATTCACTGTGGGTGGTGCCCTTCGTGTCATCAGCAGTGGCGTTGGACTGACTGCTGTGGGGATGGGAACATGCCTACAAGGGTCCTTCCTTGCCCTGTCCACACCGAGAGTCTGGGTGAGGGAGAAAGGGCCGAGGCATCCGAAGGGCCGTGCCCTGTCCCGGGGCTGGGCCGTGTCCTCTCCTGCTGTGGGCTGCTGCTTCCTGACTGGCCCCCAGCTTCTCCGAGTCCTGCAGATGCAGTCGTGCAGACTCGTTAGAAACACTTACGTGTGTTTCAGGGTCTTTGCACAGCGACCCAGTTGGTGGTAGTCAGCCAGGGACGGGAATTCAGGGTCTCCCGTCCCTTTGCCATCTCCATAGCACCCAGTGCCATGTGGACCCGAGGTGTCAGGCTCACTAACTCAGGCCTGCACGGGTTATGCAGTTCGTAACGGGACTTAGGTAATTTTTATCCCAGGGGAAGTTTAGAGGCAGAGATGAAGCTTCTGAGCCCTGAACCATTTTCTGATTCTCTTACTTGCTCCCATGGGAGTGAGTCTAAAAACAGCCGTAGCTTCTCCCTGAAGCCAGGGGGGATTTCTTGCGGTTACTGACAGGCAGACGTGGAGCATGTGGCCCTCGGGGCTCAGGGTCCCCTCAGAGGGTGGCTGGAGGAGCATGGACTCGCTTTCCGCCGGCACCTTCCTTGTAAGTTCAGAAGAAAGACAGGAGCTGACTTGCCTTGGGTGCAGGACATGACCGTCTTCTGGGAACTCAGGGGCTGTGATGGTTTTGGGGGTTAAGTAACTGGCATTTCGTCAGCCAGGTGTCAAAGGCCATCAGGAAAGGAGGGCAGAATACACACAAAATGAAGGTGTTTGGGTTGAGCCTTTCTTAGGAACACCCACAGTTAAGAGCAAGATGCCTCCTTTTCGATGCCTTATTTTACTGGCTCGTTTCCTTCGTGACCAACGTTTCTTAGGACCAAAAGGGACTACAGACTTTATTTGTAGAGTCATTTATGTGGACAAACCTAATCCCAGTAATTTCTAAATCTGTTGCTGAGACACTAGTTTTCTAGATGGGTACTTTCCTCACGTATGGAGAGGGACAGCAAACAACTGCGATGTTAAGGGTCATAAAATAATGCTTCTCACGTGTTCAGTAATATCTACATCTGATGATATGGATGAACCCAAGGACACCACTTTTACAACCTTCGACACCAAGCAAAACCGAGCAGTACATTTGAAGAAACTTTTTATCTTGAAATAATTTCAGACCTACAGAAAAGTTGTAAGAACAGCGGAAGGGACCCTTACACATCATTACCCGGATTCACTAAATGTTAACATCTTGCCACACACACCTATGCTTTATTTCTTTCTCAATCACTTGAGAGTAGGTTGCATACATCTGTTTAGTCTATTTACTTGTTAATGTTTCAGGATATTTTCCCAAGGAGCAAATATATTCTCTTACATCACCGCAGGGTAGGTACACATTCAGGAAATTTAACGTGGACACAGGACTTCAATCAGATCTGCAGCCCATATTCCAGGTTTATCAATTTTCTCAGTAATTAGTGTCCATCGTGGCTCCTTTCCCCCTTCAGTCCAGGATCCAGGCCAGCATCACATCCTGCATTTAGTTCTCACATTTCCAGTCTCCTTTAATCTGGACCAGTTCCTCTGCCGTTCTGTCTTTCCTGAAGTTGATGTTTTTGGAGAATGTAGGTCTTCTTTTTCTGTAAATTGAATGTTCCTCATTTGGGAGTTTCCTGGTATTTCATTATGACCAGGCTCGGGGTACTGATCCCTGGCCAGAACGCCGATCGACCGTGTCCTTCTCAGAGGTCCTTCCCATCTGGAAGACCCCAGTGTCCCTCTGCCCCTCTGCCCCTCATTAGTGATGTTACTTTTGAAAACTTGGGCAAGGTGTTCTTCAGTTTCTCCCCTTATGCTTAATATGTGTTGTTGTTGTTGTTGCTGTTTGTGGTACGCGGGCCTCTCACTGTTGTGGTCTCTCCCTTGCGGAGCACAGGCTCCGGACACGCAGGCTCAGCGGCCATGGCTCACGGGCCCAGCCGCTCCGCGGCATGTGGGATCTTCCCAGACCGGGGCAGGAACCTGTGTCCCCTGCATCGGCAGGTGGACTCTCAGCCACTGCGCCACCAGGGAAGCCCAATATGATTTTTTTTTTTTTTGCGGTACGCGGGCCTCTCACCTCTGTGGCCTCTCCCATTGCGGAGCACAGGCTCAGCAGCCATGGTTCATGGGCCCAGCCACTCCGCGGCACGTGGGATCTTCCCAGACCGGGGCACGAACCCGTGTCCCCTGCATCGGCAGGCGGACTCTCAACCGCTGCGCCACCAGGGAAGCCCAATATGTTTTACTTTTCAACTAACAGGTGATTTATGGAGACACTTTAAGACCATGCAAGTACCCTACCCCTCATCAAATTTTCCCCCAAGATTTATGGCCAATGGATGATTTTTGCTGAATAATTTTTACTATGATTGATATAAGATGATGATTTTCCACCACTCCCTCCATGTTTATCAGTTGGTATTTTCCGTAAGGAAGAACCCTCTCTTCTCCCTGTCCCACACGCGCCCCCCGGCTAGCCATCTACCCAGGCAGCCACCTACCCATGTACCTGCCCACCCATCCATCTGTCCATCCACTCATCCACCCATCCATCCAGCTCTCATCTGTATAGATTCATGGATTCCTATTTTATTCATCAGGTTATAATCCACTGCTGTCCTTACATTATTTATTTATTTTTTAACATCTTTATTGGAGCATAATTGCTTTACAATGGTGTGTTAGTTTCTGCTTTATAACAAAGTGAATCAGTTATACATATGTCCCCGTATCTCTTCCCTCTTGCGTCTCCGTCCCTCCCACCCTCCCTATGTCCTTACATTATTCGATGTTCAGATTGTCCCAGATCTGTCCAGAGAGAGTCCCCTCAGGCAATAACAATAAGTAGTTTTAAGTTTGTTTTTTAAGCTTCCAGTGTTAAATAGGTAGTTCTAAACAATAAGGCAAGGTCGTTTGCAGGTAGTCATGACAGCTCAGATTTTAGGGACAGTCAAGATCCCTGGAGTTGCAGAAGAGGCTGGAAGCGGTTTCTTTCTCCCGGTTGGCTTAGCCTCACCTCTGCACCACAGAAGGGTTTGTGGATCTGATGTGGGCCTCATGGTCTTACCCTGAAGTTTGTCTTCTGTTTGCAGAAGACCCCAGCCGGCGTGGTCCATGCTGCAGTTAGGACGGGGCTGAAGCAGAGCCAGACGCAGGCTGCAGGACCTGCGTTCAGGGCCCGGCCGTCCTGAGCTGTACATGGGCCATGGAGGGGCCGAGGGGCTCCTACTTGTGGCCTGGCTGGCAGCAAGAGGGCGAGTGGGAAGGCCATCGCATACTGGGTTCACAGGGCGGGAGGAGTCACCGGTGTCCTTTCTCTTTGATTTAGGTGGGTTCCCATCATCTGAGACTCAACAGAGGCCTGGAAGCCAACGCCCCTGCTTTCGACAGGTAGGGCCGTCCGGCCGCATCCTAAGTCTGTTGTCCTTCCTCTCATCAGACAGTAGGACAGGAGCCAGGGTGCCGTGGGAAATGGGAGACCCCAAATCTGGAATCTGAATCTGCTTTTTACTTTGGTTCTTTATACAAAAAGGCAGCTTTTGGAATGTTTACTTGCTTTCAGTTTTCCCTGAAGGTTCATTCATAAATGCTCAGGTAACACTTTGCAATTATTTTATCTTATCAGTTCCTTCTGCATTGAAGCTTTATCCATTTGTCCTGGTTAATAAGGGATCATCTAAACTATAGGATATTTCTAAGCTGGTTTGTTTGTGTTTTTAAGGTAACATATTCCCAGGCTTTAAAAAGTCACAGTGTGGAAAGGTATAAAGGAAGACGTAGAAGTACCCTAACTCCCAATTCCCACTGTTAGTTAGTTTTCTGTATATCGTTCTAGAAAAAATTCTGACTTATACATAGTTCTTTTTTTTTTTGCTTCATTGGGTCTTCGTTGCTGCGCGTGGGCTTTCTCTAGTTGCGGCGAGCAGGGGCTACTCTTCGTCGCGATGCGCGGGCTTCTCATTGCGGTGGCTTCTCTTGTTGCGGAACACAGGCTCAAGGCGCACGGGCTTCAGTAGTTGTGGCGTGTGGGCTCAGTAGTTGTGGCTCGCAGGCTCAGTAGTCGTGACGCATGGGCTTAGTCACTCCGCGGTATGTGCGATCTTCCCGGACCAGGGCTAGAACCCGTGTCCCCTGCATTGGCAGGCAGATTCTTAACCAATGCGCCACTAGGAAAGTCCCCATAGTTCATTTTTTAAAACACAAATTGGATCATTACACACTTACTGTTTTACAACTCACTTAAGAAAAGCCATCGCTAACCTGAACTCTTGGTAATTTGTACTTGAAATAGTCAATAGCTTTTTAAAATATTTGTTTTTTTTACTCTAAATGTTAATTTTAAAATAATATTAATGGGTATAACATACTTCTCAAAGTAATTTTTTTTTAATTTACTTTATTATTTACTTTTGGATGCGTTGGGTCTTCATTGCTGCGCGCGGCTTTCTCTTGTTGAGGCGAGTGGGGGCTGCTCTTCGTTGCGGTGTGCGGGCTTCCCATTGCGGTGGCTTCTCTTGCTGCGGAGCACGGGCTCTAGGTGCGCGGGCTTCAGTAGTTGTGGCTTGTGGGCTCTAGAGCGCAGGCTCAGTAGTTGTGGCGCATGGGCTTAGTTTCTCCGCAGCATGTGGGATCTTCCCGGACCAGGGCTCGAACCCGTGTCCCCTGCATTGGCAGGCGGATTCTTAACCACTGCGCCACCAGGGAAGTCCTCAAAGTAAATTTTAAAAATGTTTGAATCATTCTAGCCGAAGCTTCATTTGGACTTTAAATTTGCTTGCAGCCTTCTTATTTACCTTAAGATTGGTGACACCAGCCCCCCTAATTAGCATGTTACACACAGGGCACACTCAGCGCTGAGCAGCTCAGACTCCCCACCTGAGCAGGGCCTGCTCTGTCTGCACCTGTCAGACCTCAGGCCAGGATGCACCTTCTCTGGGGAGGCGGAACCAAAAGAGCCCAGAGGGGCCAGGCCACACATGTTGTTTCTTCCGCACCTTCCCCCGGGGCTTCCACGTAGCATGGCTCCAGGGGCCGTGCACAGCCTACTGGCTGTGAGGAGGCCCTGATCTCCCAGATTTGATCCAGCCCTGCATCCTCCCCCTGGGAGGGACTGCAGACAGGGCAGGGCTGCCAGGAGCATGGCCCTGGGAGAATTCCTCTTCATGGGGGCGGAGCCCTCGGCGCCTCGTCTTCAGCTGTCTGCAGAGGGACATAAACTGCCCACTTCAGGATCCACATTCCTCTACGCAGTGCTGTCCCTCCGAGTTAGTAAGAGAGTCCCTTTTTCTCTTATTGGGCTAAAAATGGTTCTTTTGTGATAATTAACTTTAAAAAATTCCATTTATGAGACAAACATATTATTGTAGAAATTTGGAAAATACAAAAAATGTTTAAAGAAGGAAAGAACTTAAAATCACATAAAATTCTACCACGCTTAACATTGTGGTGTGTTATTTTTTTTCTCGTGTTAGATGTTAAGATTGCAGTATTAAATTAATTTTACATTTGCTGTTTGCATTTCCCCTTTTTTAAAAAACTACATTTAAATATTTCCAACAGTATTAAAATTATAAAGTTACTTTTCAAAAGCTGCTGGTAAAAGACAAATATTAGAGTCTCTCCCTGCTATTTCAATATATGTATTTAAAAATAGTCTCTGGTATACAAAGAATTTTCCTAAAGACCGAAATTTCATTATACCTTCTGGTTGAGGTTAAACATCATGAAATGCAGCACTTAGATGAAAAAATTGGACCCTGAGGTTGATGCCTCTCCTAGCAGTTTTTCTAGTTCTGAGAAGGTACCAAGTGAAGTGGATTAACTTCAGAGATACGCACGTCACATTTATAAGGCTCTGTTAATGAAAGGCCAGATTAGCTGTTCTGGGTTTAATGGAGGACTTTACAGAAAGTCCAGCGTATCCTCCACCTGATACCACGTGTGTTGAGAAGCCTGGTGTGCTGTGTACTCTTGGCCAGTGCCTTTCGTGGGGAACAGCTCGTCCAGGACCTCCAGTGCCTGGCAGGTCCCCTCAAGGGCGGGACCGTCAGCGTGTGTCGCGGGGACATGGCATCATGCGTGGCCCTGCTCTGTTGCAGGCACATGGTGCTTCTCAAGGAGCAATATGGGAAGCAAGTGGTCGTGAACCTGCTGGGGAGCAGAGGCGGAGAGGAGGTGCTCAACAGAGCCTTCAAGGTAACTGGCTTCCCCGCCTGGGGGGGCAGGGAATGAGGGAGCCGAGGGGCCCCTGCTCAGGGTGGGCTTCCGTGGGGACTGGGGACAGCAGCCCTGCTCTCCCCACGTTGGGGGAGGCTTTCTCCATCAGAGCTTCAACATTAGGTGATTTGGGCTACTGACAAATGCAGTTTAATTTTTGTAAAGCAATGGTTGGGAGAATTTGCTCAAAATGAAAACAGAGCATCTCCCATCTCCAGCTGCATTTCCTCCACTGCTCCCCACTGGGGCATCGACCACTCAGGATGGCCAGGCCTTTCCCTGGCTCTCTTGGACGGACACACACACGCGTGAACGCACACATGCATGCACGTGCACACGTATGTTTGGGCTTCACCCCACGCATCCCTGACCTGCTCGGGGAGCCAGAGTTCCCTCTTCCCTTGTTGGTCTGGCCTAGCTGCTGGCCAGCACCTTGTGGCACGTTCACACAGACACCCGCAGGGCACTTGTGCCTAAGTGGCTCTTCAGAGCCCCTGCTCGCTTTAAAGCAAGCAACCCTAGATAATTTCCTCCAGTGAACATGGAGCCTTCAAGTCATCCATCCTTGTGTGGGCTGCCCCTGAAAGCTGCTTCCTGTGTCCAGCTTTCCGTGGGCTCCCCGCGGCTTCTGGCACACGTTCAAGGGAGATGCGTGGAGAAACCCTGGGCGGGGAGGGAGCCGTGAGCAAAAGACTCCGCCCACCTCGCCTGCATCTCTCCGTTCCCAGTGCTCCCACGTGTATTCGGTCTACTGTAGGCCAAGCTGCAGAATAAGCTGTGGGCTGTGGGTCTCCACAGTCCTTTCCCAGCAGCCCATGTTCCCTGCTGAATGGGAAAAAAACCCTGTGGTTGTTCAGAGCTCAAGGAAGCCCCTTATGGAGAGAGTTTGAAGTCACACCTCACTTCACGGGAAGAGTGTTCCCTGTGGTCCTGGCCCCTGGCCAGTAGAAGCTGAATCCAGCTGGGTGCTTATTTCCCTCTGTTTAGGGAAGCCATGTGCTTGGAGCTGAGACTTGCTGGTGGCCAGTTTCACTTGGCCAGACCTGCTTTTCCTGTTTGGTTTGTTGCTATTGGCAACAAGCTCGCGAAGTATCTCCACTGCTACCCATCTTGGCAGCCGTGTGGGCAGTTTATTTTAAGGAAGAAGAAGGGAAAAAAAAAAAACCCTCAAGAATTTTTCCCCTTTATGCCTTGATTTTGGGGAGAAGGTGTCCTCAGCACGCCCCCATCAGCTGGTGGGCCCCTGCGCTGGAAAGGCAGGAGATGACTGCAGGCCTCTGGCCCAGCAGGGGAGACCAGACCCCTGGGCAGGTAGGAGGTAAGAGGTGGACCTTACCTGGAGAGACCTGGGTCATGGTCCCAACTGGGGTATCACATAGAAGGAGCTCCCGCAGCCTGTCAGCTCTGCCACACTGAGGTCCACGCACAGGCAGCCGGCCTGTGACCCGTGGTTATCAGGCCACAGGGGGCCAAGCACTTGCTCCAGATCGTGAAGCCACCGAGTGTGAATGCTTCAGCTTGGCCGACTACTTCCCAACAAGACCTTCTTGATGACGGCAGCTGCGCGTTGACTTGCGTTCTAGCGCAGGAGGGACGGGCGCTCAGAGTCCTCGGGACCAGATGGCCTGAAGCCCTTCTAGTCCTTCAGAGTCACTCGTCTCTGGCTGGGCAAGTGCTGGACAAGTCTGACCTGAAGCCGCACAGGAGGGTGTGGTTGGCGGTCCGAGGCTGGGTGCCCTGGGAAGGCAGTGGTTCATCCTTTGCCCCGGGGCTGCCTGGTGAGGGTGCTGAGGAGTTGCTGGCTGAGGCTTCTGGTGTGGAAGGCAGACCTCTGCCAGGGCACCATGCCTGCCAGGCACCCACCGGCCGTGCTTCCTCACGTCTGGCTCCGCCTTCAGTCCAGCTCACGTGCTGGACCCGGGCCCGAGTGGGCCCTGAGCCCCTGTCTCCCCCACCCTGGAGTTTCACTGGGCTGCACCTCCCCTCACTGGGCAGCCTGGAGGACTTGCCGAGGGACTTGGCCGCCTCTGAGCACACCCTCCCGGAGTCTTGCCTTGTCGGGGTGGGACTGGTTACCGTGGCAACAGGAGCTGGATTATGAGCTCCGCAGCCTGCTGTCCTGCCCTGTACCTGGTGTGCCCGTGGGCATCCTCCAGAGAGCCCTCTGGGAGGTGATGTTGGTGCAGGGCCCTGGGCTGCCCCGGGGAGCCACACCCACTCTGGCTGTCTTTTGTCCAAGGTGGACCTTGTGCCCTTCTGCAGGCAAGATGCTCTTTGTGGTTTTGTCCCCAGGGCCTTTGTTCTGTGCTGCCCTTTCCGGGTCGGGGCTGGTAAACCACAGGGTCCACCGTAAGCCTTCAAGCTAAGCCCTGCACCGTGTCGAGTGACACAGTTGGCCGCTCAGATGCCCTGCCACCCTCTCCCTTTCTTCCCCTTTCAGAAGCTGCTCTGGGCTTCTTGCCACGCCGGCGACACGCCTATGATCAACTTTGACTTCCATCAGTTTGCCAAAGGCGGGAAGCTAGAGAAATTGGAGAACCTGCTGAGGCCACAGTTGAAGCTGCACTGGGATGACTTTGATGTGTTTGCCAGGGGCAAGAATGTAAGTCCACGGTGAGTCTCACCTGCATCTTGTCGTCCCGCCAGGCTAGCTGCCGAGTGGCAGGGGCTCTGCCGGGAGCGCGCCCTCCCTCACCGCTCCTACACTTGCAGTTTCTGGGGCCGCGGGCTCAGTGATATCGGGCACCTTGGGTTCTGGCCTTCTCCTTCCCCTTCCCACAATCGGAGATGCTTGTGAATTTTGTGAGCAGATGAGAAATCATGGTTTTCTGGCAAAATGTACTGATGGCGGGGACCGGGTTAAACGGTGGAGCCGTGGTGACCTTATAACTTATCATCTGAACTGTGATGAAAATTAGCAAGAGTGAAGGGGGGCAGCTGGCATAAACCCGATTGCCTGAGGGAACTGGGATGTGGGTTCCCTGCTCAGAGTGGAGGAGAAGGAAGTCCAGTTTCCGCCAATCAGTTCAGTTGATGCTCATTATTCACAGATGCCATATTTGCAGATTTGCCCACTTGCTAAAGTTTATTTGTGACCCCAAAATCAAACTCTTGAAGCATTTACAGTCATTCACCAGACCTGCTCAGAACAGTGAGAAATTCGAGGCGCCTGCCCTGCACGTTCCCGGCTGAGGTGGAGCCAGGCCCCGCTCGGCCTTCTTGTTTCAACTCCCCCTGCAAACAGGTGTTCCCGTACCATCTGCTTGGTGCCACGTCTTCGCTATTTTGTGCATCTTGTCGGAGATTTCACTGTTTAAAATGCCCCCCAGGCGTGGTGCTAAGTGCTGTCCAGGGTCCTAAGCCCAGGAAGGGTGTGACGTGCCTCAGGGAGAGAGTACGTGTGTTCGAGAAGTTTCGTTCAGGCACGAGTTACAGCGCTGATGGCCAAGACTTGATTGTGGATGAATCAACAATATATATTAAATTAGGTGTCTTTAAACAGAGACACACATAAAACAAGGTTATGTATTGATTAGTCGATGAAAATACGCGAGTAGAGGCTCACGGGAACATAGCCCCCCAGGAACAGTGGCTCCGCGCCTGCTGCTTTGCTAACAGTTCAATTCGCTAACGGTTCATGCAACTTTCTAGAACGTAACTAGGGTGACAATAAGATTTGATTGTCTTTGTGACGGCCCTGGTGTGCAGGCTGCCGAGAGCGCGCTCTGGACTCGGCCACCCCTCCAGCAGTGCTGGGACCCACCGCGCCGTGTACCGTTGGGGAGCCCCCGCTGGGGTTTCCGTGGGAAAGGCAAACAGCTTAGGACCCACCGGGCTGAGTAACTCTGGTGGCTTTGGGCTGCCCGGGTGGGCTCTAGTTGGCAGGCGGCCTACCAGGGAGGAGGTGAGGGGTTCTTCCTCGGGACGAGGCTCCTTGGGGGCCTGCAGTCAGATGGGCCGTTGTGCCACGGGCAGTGCTCCTTCCAGCAGAACTTGTAACTTGTGTGTGTTGTTTCCCGAAGTTTTCAGAAAGGCACTTTGCGGATGAACTGTCTCGACTGCCTGGACCGAACCAACACGGTGCAGAGCTTCATCGCCCTCGAGGTCTGTCTCTTGGGCCATCTGTGTCCTGTCCTGTGCCTTCAGGGGGATGGGCTGGGCTCAGCACCCTTGTCAGCAAGATGAGGGAGGCCTCACTGGGCTGACGTTCCCACTGTGGGGAGGGGACAGTGAACGTGTCTGGCATCTAGAGAAAGGTCTCCCCGGGTAGCTGGCTTGCCGATGCCGTGAGATGCCTTTGGCCTGTCACAGGCACGCTTTCACACACGCTTTGGAATGCACCCCGGACATGGTGGCCCAAAGGTGCTACCATGGCCCAAAGGAGAAATGGTAGCCGTGGGTAGTGATTATTGTGAGCGTTCCCTTAGAGGAAGGCAGGGTGAGACCGCCTGAGATGAGGCTGGGTTTGAAGCCTGGGGGGAGTTTGAAGCCTGTGGTCTGCTGCCTGGGTGGCCTCTCCTGGCTGACCGCTGAGAGGAGGAGTGGGGTCCGCGCTGCCTGCCGTCCATCCCTTGCTGTCCTGTTTTGCGGGTAGTATGGGGGAGGGAGGGGGAGGGTGTCAGAGGAGGGCTGGGTGAAGTGTAGATAAAGTCAGGTGAACTGTAGAAGCCCCATTCTCTACTGCGAGGGTGCCTTGTCCTCTGGGGGGCACAGAGTCACCCACAGCAACCCTCTGAGTAGGAACTCACGGGGATGGCACCTGGCGGTGTCCCCTGGGCATCTGTGGGGCAGCTTCCGGGTGAGAAGTTGGTGACCACTGTCCCCTCCTCTCCCAGGTCCTCCACCTGCAGCTTGAGAGCCTAGGGCTGAATTCAAAGCCCATTGCCGACCGCTTCGTGGAGTCCTTCAAAGCCATGTGGTCTCTGAACGGGCACAGCCTGAGCAAGATGTTCACGGGCAGCCGGGCCCTGGAAGGGAAGGCCAAGGTAAGGGCAGGCCGCGGGGGCGGGGGGCGGGTGGTGCCCGTGCGGGCCCCTCTCACGGCCTGTCGTCCGGCCCGTGGCAGGTGGGGAAGCTGAAGGACGGGGCCCGGTCTGTGTCTCGCACAATCCAGTCCAACTTCTTTGACGGGGTGAAGCAGGAGGCCATCAAGCTGCTGCTGGTCGGGGACGTCTACGCTGAAGAGTCTGCGGACAAAGGAAGGATGCTGCTGGACAACCAGGCCCTGCTGGGTGAGGGGCTCCCGCTCTGCCCTGCCATCCAGAGGGCAGTGGTTGGGGGGTGCTAGCCAGCCTTCCCACCCCTCACGTCATCCCAGGTGGTGGGTGGCAGGCGCCCCCCTGAGCTGCGGGGCAGCGGGAGGGAGCTTCTGTGCTCGGATCTGATCCTTGGCTGTTCTCAGACTGTCCGTGTCTTTGAATGTTAACCCATCGAGGGATCTTTCTCAGCTTGAAAACATTCTTGGTCCCATTGCCAGGTATCATTTGTGGGGAGTCTTCCATGAGGGTGGCCTCCTGCTTCTGTTCTGGCCTCAGGACCCTGTAGAACTCTCCCAGGGATGAGGACACCTTCCACTCTCAGGGGCAGGACTGTCATGATTCCCTCAATAGCTAGAGGTTTCTTTTTTTCTTTCTTCTTTACTTGAGATATATTTGATATATAGCATTACATTAGCTTCAGGTATACAACATAATGATTTGATATTTGTATATGTTGCAAAATCATTAGCACAGTAAGTCTGGTTAACATCATCACCACACATAGTTACAATTTTTTCTCTTGTGATGAGAACTTTTGAGAGCTACTCTCTTAGCACCTTTCAAATATACAACACAGTATTGTTAACTGAAGTCACCACGCTGTACATTATATCCCCAGGACTTATTTAACAGGAAGTTTCTACCTTTTGACCGCCTTCACCCACCTCGCCACACCCACACCCCAACCTCTGACAACTGTTCTCTGTATCTGTGAGTTCATTGTGTGTGTGTGTGTGTGTGTATGTGTGTGTGTGTGTGTGTGTGTAAGATTCCACACATAAGTGAGCTACAGGTTTCTTTGGGGAAATTTTAGTGGCATCTTATCCCGTAGAGCCTGGAAGGGGAGACCCAGCATTTTTCCTTAGAAGAATGTATAACTCTTGGTTTAGAAGTTTTTGGTGTTTTTGAAAAATTAGTTTGTCCGTGCTTAAAATGACTTCACACCCCTTTTCTACTTTGTTTCTTCCATCACCGGGGGAACTCCTGTCTGGCTCCTGGTAGCCAAGGTGACACCTGTGTCAGCCTGGAAACAAGGCAGCTCAATACGTGTGGAAAGAAGCCCTGAGCAGTGCAGTGAGGCTGGTTTCACAGCAAAGTAAACGTGATGGATATTTGGGCCAAGTCCCCAGTTTAAAAAATGGACTGTGCTTTGGCTATCTAAGAGGATGGACTTGGCTCAGAGTAATGATTTTTTAAAGGCTTAAGTCTGAGGTAAAACAAAACACTTCAGGCATGCGATTGGTAGGTGGAAAATGCAAAGTTGGGTGTCAGACCCTTAAAGTTCCGTGTGTATATATTTAATATGGAAGGTTGCAGTGTCCCCTTGATTAAATTCCCACGGGATCGTGGCGTGACCGTCGAGGATGAGATTCCCTGTGATCTGATGTCACGGCCTCTGTGGCTCTGTTGGGAGAAGGGTGCGGAGGGGACATTATGGCAGAAGTGCCACAGGAAAGTGTTCGTGGGTGGTTTTTAGCCTCTTAGCACCTTTATAAGGAGCATCCATTGGTCCATATAGATGGGATCGTGCATCCCCCGTGACAGAGAGCCTGGCCATGTTTCTGGGGGAGGTGGGTGGGGTGCAAACATGGCCTTTCTGTGCCCCCAACAGTGACTCCCAGGATCCTGCAAGCCATGTCGGAGCGCCAGTCGGAGTTCACGAATTTCAAGCCGGTGCGCGTCGCCGTGGGCACCTGGAACGTGAATGGAGGGAAGCAGTTCAGGAGCAACCTGCTGGGCACTGCCGAGCTGGCTGAGTGGCTGTTGGATGCGCCCGTGTCTTCTGGAGTCTCTGGATCCCAGGGTGAGTGTGGCCGGGACAGGGCGACAGGTGCAGACCCCCGGCCGCCGTCTCGCCTCGTCCGCAGGTGGACTTGGCAAGTTGGGTATTTGGCCTTCTCGCTCCTTGGAATGTTTAGAAAGCTCTGTGGAAGGTTAGATCACAGACACGGTTGGTTTTTTTTTTTTGGCCGCGGCTTGCGGGATCTTAGTTCCCCGACCAGGGATCAAACCCAGGCCCTTGGCAGCGAAAGTGTGGAGTCCTAACCACTGGACTGCCAGGGAATTCCCTGTGTAACTTTTAAGAATAAAACAATTCCAAGGTTGACACCTCACCTTTTGTCTTATATCGTGCAAGGTAATATTTAATGGCCTGAGAACTCAGGATTCGAACACGTACTTTCTCTCCAGTCAGCATTTACGTAGGGGTTTCGCTTTTTCCCACTCGCTTGGATTCTGGAAAGACTCGTGGTCCGGTTCCCTGCCTGTTGATGTGCGGTGGAGGGCGGGGTCAGCTCTGCTTACGTACCTTGATCGACAGCTGTCCAGAGCCCCGTCCCCGCCCTCTGTGCGCTGTCCACATGTGGCAGGGGCTTGGGGGCAGCATAGCTCAAGGGCCTTGTTCCGAGTCACTGGGATGCCTCAGGCAGCTGAGCGTCAGGACACGTCGGGAGGCAGGCAGCAGGTGGCTGCAGGGCTTCTATTAACCCAAGACTCCCTGTTAAAGGGGACAAAGAGAGAACGGATGAGCAACACTTCTGCTCGCTGTGCTTCCTGTAAACCAGGCATTTCTGGGGCAGATTTCATCAGAGTGGGTCCCAAGCAGGGCTGGATGTCCCCTTCTCTGACCACCAGGACAACAGTGCCCTGGGACAGGACCATGGTCAGACATGATCCCAGCAAGGCTGGCCCAGCGCTGTGAAAAGCACTGAGGGACACAAACAAGTATGAGCCAGTTCTGCCCCCTGGCAACTTAGGGTCTGGTTGGGGGGCCGGTGCCTGCTGCGTGTGGAAGTTACCGGTCCAGGCACTCTACACGTGCTCTCTGATTTACGCTTTAGACCACCCTGCAAGGTGGCCACTACCGTCCCTTTTGCAGAGCAAGCAGCAGAGTTTGGAGAGGTTAGTGACACGCCCAGGATGTAGCCAGGGAAGAGCCGTGGGCACAGTGGGAGCTGGAAGGAGGTTGGCGCGTGGAGCTCACCACATGGTCTGGAGGGGTCACCCAGGCCGTGGGCCAGCACAGGCCTCCGTGGGTCTGACTTCCCTCGTCTTCTGCTTGCTCTGCAGATGACAGCAGCCCAGCTGACATATTTGCCGTGGGGTTTGAAGAGATGGTGGAACTGAGCGCAGGGAATATCGTCAATGCCAGGTAGGCGGCCAGGCACGGTGGGGTGGGATCCTGAGCCGGGAGCCTCTGCATTCTGACTGTGCTCCCACCACGACCTCACGGACATACGCCTCTCCCTTACTCTCTCTTTGCTGATTAAGGAAATAGAAGGAAGGGTGGGATAGGCTCAGTACTCCATGGGTGCTGCTGCCTCGGCCACGTGTCCAGGCTGATTCACGCTGCGAGCTGGCATGTGTGAGCCCCGAGGGCATGGGCCGGGCTGGGCGGGGGCTGACTCACGTTTCCTGTGTGTGAGTGTAAGAAAGAAACAAAGGAAAGAAAACCACTGGATTTAACATTTGGTGTGAGGTCAGCAGGACTCTTTCTTTCCTAGTCCGTTTCAAGGTACTTTCTGAACAAATAATAAAACCTGGTTCTATGGAGGTCTTATGAGCAAGGCCCTGTGCTGGGGTTCAGGGGGCAGGGGTTGGGGGGGCACATGTTTGAAGTGTACAACACAACCAGAACTATGCGGATAGCCCATTGCAGGAATTAAGGCTCACATGGCACTAGTGCAGGAGCGCAGGCAGCATGACGTCAATAAAGACCCAACTAAGGGCTAGAGGAGTTTATAGGTGGGAGAGCCTGCTTCCATCTCACACTGAACAGCATCCTTCTTTTCTCCAGTACCACCAACAGGAAGATGTGGGGTGAGCAGCTTCAGAAAGCCATCTCACGCTCTCATAGGTACATTCTCTTGACTTCGGCACAGCTGGTGGGCATCTGTCTTTATATCTTTGTACGTCCGTACCACGTCCCCTTCATCAGGTAAGAACATTTCGCTTACGAACATCTGGGGGAACACAGGATTGTTTGATTCTGACTTCCTTCCCCCCACCCCCTTCCTGCAACAGGAATCAGGACCTGCCATTATTTTAGATAAATGTAACAAAACCCCCAAGGAAAAACCAAGCGAATAGAATATTGTCTAGCATTTAAAAAGCCACAGTGGGAACCTTCTAGCTCAGGAAGCTGGACCCTTTTAGAAAGACTGTTTCATGATCGTTGTTACCCAGGCTCAGTTTTGCACAAGGAAGGGGATTCCTTGCTGAAATGTTAGACAGGAAACCTCTGACCAAGAGCTGGGTAACTCATCAGGAAATGCCAGTTCTTTTGTCTCTTTTTAAAAGAATTCTAAATAAGATGTGTGGGCAGAAAGCCTCTACCACTGTCACCCCATTATTGGGTCTCCAAAGTGACAGTTTTGTGAATGTCAGAAAGGGGAAAAGCTTAGGAAAAGCGTGTCTTTTAGGAAAGCCCGTCTGTGTGTGTGTGTGCGCGTGTGTGTGTGTGTGTGCGTGCATGGGGATTTTAAGGTTTGGGAGGAGCACGCATTGCTCCCTGGTCTCATTCGTGTTGTTGGAACGTCCTCTGGCCTTTGTCTTTGCCTGCACCAGACAGAGAGATACTTGGAGAGCATAATCCTCTTCTGTGGCCTTTGGGAAATGTTAAAGTCTTTGTGCCCCAACTGTTTGCTGCGACAGTCTGGCAGTGTCCACAGTGAGTGGGTAAAAGTCAGTTACGGTCAGAGTAGAGGAGAGGTTAGGGTCGAGGTCAGAGATACAACACGAGAAAGGGAGTGATGCCGAGGGGCTCCGGATTTCCCAGGTGCCAACTAAGGTCCCAACACCTGTGTCCCTTTAGCCTCAGGCTCGCACACTGTGGCAGGTTATCCCCATCCCTTGTCTGTTGGGTGACAGTTGCTTCGGCCCCTGGTCCCGTGGACCTACGCACTCACCTGTGTGCGTTGTAAGCTGGCATTTTAATGCCAGGCGTCTGCTTGGAAACCACCGCCCAGCCCAGCATAGAGAACTGGATGGTTCCTGTTTTTTCAAATGTGTTGATTACCTGATGGCACCCCCTGTACTTTGCAGAAGAGCCGTGTGGGATGGGGTTGGGGGCGGGGAACTCCATGCTGCTTCTACCGCAGCAGCGAGACCGGCAGCGGAGGGCCGGGGTGGAGGTGATTCCGCTGCTTTGTGGGGTGCTCATGTGAGCACCTCGGAGCTGGGGCCGTGGAGAGGATGCTCCAGCCCCTCCCACGGGGCAGCTGCCCACGATGAGGAGGGTCAGGAGTGATGCGGAGCTGATGGCAGTCGCGCTGTCCCTGTGCGGCCTGGCCGCTGAAGATGGGATGAGCCAGCCTCTGAGCCGAGGCCTTTGAGGCTCTCAGATCCGCAAGCCTCGCGCTGCCGCCCGGATCTTCTCTGTAGCAAAGCTGCTCATGCTTTGCCTTCGGAGCCACTGAGAGACCCCCCGCGTGTGCATTCTCTGTTCCAGGGACGTGGCGATTGACACAGTGAAGACAGGCATGGGGGGAAAGGCGGGGAACAAGGGCGCCGTGGCCATCCGCTTCCAGTTCCACAGCAGCAACTTCTGCTTCGTCTGCAGCCACCTGACGGCCGGGCAGTCCCAGGTGAAGGAGAGGAACGAGGACTACAGGGAGATCACCCAGAGGCTGAGCTTCCCGATGGTGAGCAGCGAGGCCCCTGCTCGGGTCCGCCCCACACACGGTGTTCTGAGTTGCTGATATGGGCAGGCGGTGGCGATGCGACCGTAGGAGGGTCCCTGCCCCTGGGGGCTCAGCACTGGTGGCTCAGCACTGGTGGCAGGGAGATGACCAGGGGTGCTGCAGTAGCGGTGAGCAGGGAGTCCGGCCCAGGAGTGTTCTGCCTCCTGTATCTCTGTGCGTTTCCTGAATGTCCCGACGTGCCCTGTGTTTTCTTATTCTAATTCAACTGTATGCAATGGGGAAAGAAAACCAGTGCGTCCACGCTTTGTCCAAGTTGGTGAAGAACATTTGAATCCAACCAGTATAAGACTAGGTTTTCTTGAGACTCACACATACATTCTGTTGTGGCTCAGAAGAGAATACACATTTTTGAAACCAGTGAATTCTTGACTCAGGAGCTCTGGGTCCCGGTACGGTCTCGCGGTTGCCAATACCATGCGTCGTGCCGCCCTCTAGTGGTGGTCCAGAGGCTTTCATTCTGAAGATGGGGGATCTTTTTGAATTCAGATTTGAATGTTTTTCCTTTCTGTGCAAAGATGATGGTCCCGCACACCTTCACCCTGGTGCAGACACCTTTTTCCCAGCAGTGAGGGTAGACTTTAGCTGTTCCTGCCACACATCCTGCCCGTGCCTGAGACAAGGTTGGCTGGGTCACGGAGCTCTTCTATGTGAGGCCAGATCCCTTAAAACTGACACCCTGTTCGCTGGACTGCCCTCAAGGCAAAAATTCCTTAGTTTTCATTAAGAAGTGCTGTAATCCTTCTTGGAGGTTTTATTTCTTGGATTATAAAATAAATGAGTTGGGAAATTTGCAATTGTAGTTTTCCAGATTATGTAGGGCTAATATTTTCTTTCTGGGTCTATGTGGTTAAAAAAGAAAAGTCCAACCCTTCTCACTTAAAAAGTGCTGTTTCAAAGTAGCAAACATGGGACACATTTAAAATAATTAAAAAGAGTTTATACTATAGCTTTTTTCAACAGAAATATTGACGGTACCTATAAGTTAATACTCTGTACCTGTTCAGTAGAGTAGCCACTAGCCACAAGTAGCTATTTAAATGTAAAATAACTAACGTTAAATAAAACTAAAAATCCGTCGGTCACACTGGCCACATTTCAAGTGTTCGATGGCTAGATGTGGCTGGTGGCTCCTGTTCTGCACAGCACGGGTAGAGAACACTTCCATCGCTACAGAGTGTTCTATAAGGCAGTGATGCTCTGCACATTTATTTTATTTGGCTGTGATAATTCCAACATTTGTATAACGGAAACAGATTTTGGAGCTTGGCAGATCTGAGTTCATGTCTTATCTTTATCATGTACTAGCCGTGTAACCTTCAGCAAAGGTTCTGAACTTCTTTTTTTAATCTGTAAGAGAGCCATTAGTGTGTGCTTCACAGGGCTGCTGGGAGAACAGTGCGCCCCAGAACAGAGCCCAGCATTGTAGACAGCTGATATCGTGCTGCTACTGTTGTTGTGATTCCTGGGGAAGGGAGGGGAAGATGCCACAGCTGTCCAGGGCTGCCCTGGGCAAGATGGGGGAGGGGGAGAGAGAGAGGTGGAGGGTCACAGGATGAAAGTGTATGAAATCGACCAGGTTTTACGAAGTTGCGTGTCCTGAGCATTTATACTTATTTTCTTAAACCTCATTCTCGTAACACTGAATGTTTGGGCAATTCGTCTTAGGATACAGACATAACAAAGCAGGGGTACATCCTGATGGCTGAGATCCACTCGGCAGAGTAAATACCAATATTGGTAGTCATGCTTCCTCTGTTAGAGTTGGAGCTTTCTCCAAACCACTCGAAAACACTATTTAAAATTTGAAAATTAAGCCATGTGAAAGTCCCTCAGTAAGTTTATGGGATTAGTGAAAAATGAGATGCTCTAGCAGACTTTTCTTCTTAAGTAACATTTTAAGAAAAACACATCTGCTATCATCTGTACGGTGAGTTTATTTTTCTCCCTTCTCCCACCTTCCTTGCAATGGGCTGAATCAGCATTTGTTTTTTTTTTTATGACTTAGGGAAGAAACATTTTTTCTCACGATTACGTGTTTTGGTGCGGCGATTTCAACTACCGCATTGATCTCACTTACGAAGAAGTCTTCTATTTTGTTAAACGCCAAGACTGGAAGAAGCTCCTGGAATTTGATCAGCTACAGCTACAGAAATCAAGTGGAAAAGTAAGTTGTGCTTTTAAAATAGTTTTTAACACCTGCTCCAACATGGAATAGCTTCTGCTAAATGTACACGCTAGCATTCGCGAATTAAGCTTCATGCGTGAATTTAACTGATTCTGATAATGGTAAAAAAAGGTGTCTGGCGTAAGAAGTTAGAGAAACGTGAGTGTCCATCCACACTCACGTCCTGTTCCTCCTTTCGGTGGCCACGGTCAGGGTCTGTGTCTTCTCATGCCCAGAGGGGCCATTGCTCTATGAAAGGACACTGGACACACGTAAGCCACCGCAGGAGCTCAGGGTGACAGGAGCCTCTCTGCCCAAGCTCTGTGGTTGGAGTGGGGGCCAGCTGTCCCTTCCTCCTTCGCACAAGCTGAGCCCTGGTCCAGCTGTGCTCAGTTTGAGTCCAAGATGCTTCAGACAGCCCCATGTCAGCATCTGAGCACATGGCCGGTGAGGCTGGTGGGTGTGATGTACGCAGTCCACGTGCCCTGTACTCAGGGTGATGCTCGTAGGGATGGCTGTGTGTCAGGTACACTAAACCAGCAAGTGACACGCTAGATTCTGCTCAAAACATTTTATTTTGGTGATATCTCTGTTTCTTGTTAGTGAACATACTAACAAATAAGTTAATTTAATACACTAACAAGATCTAATACACTTTACACACCAATTTGTACACATAATGCTCAAGACCATCCTACAGATTAGGTATCACACCCATTTTATAGATAAGAAGACTGAGGCCAAGGTCAAACACCGTGTCCAAGGTCACACAGTCAGTAAACAGAGGCATGACAGAGCCCAAGACTGCCACGCTTCCCATGAGACTTCCCCTCCCTGACCTGGTGTGGTCTTTTAGCGCCTCCTTAGGCCATGATGTAATAGGGAAGATTCAACTCTAGAATCTGTCCTCAGTTCTTCAGGGTCACACTGGCTGGCCTCCACATGACTCAAAACTTATCTTCTCTCCCACCTGAAACTGTTTGTTGTTTTGGTGCCTGTTTGCTTCCTAGCAGGACAGGCTGAGGGGAGGGAGGCACAGCTAAGTTCCATCTACCTGGTGAAAATGCAGCGGGTTAGATGGTGCAGGCAGGGAGGTTAAGGCTCCTCCTGCAGTGAGACCTGGATGTTCCTCGAGGTTTTCTGTCGTCCCCCCTCAGTGACACGGGTCGCTGGGGGTGGCCAGAGGGCAGAGTAGCCATGCCACTCCTTCCTGCAAAGGGTCTCTCTCCCTTCCTCCTGCCAATATTCTCCTCACACTTCCCCTCGGACGCTGAGTGAATGTCTGTTCCTGGGTCTTCCCGCAGCATCAGGGCTGGACCAGGGCTAAGTGAAGACGGAGGAGGGCCGGACTTCAGTTCTGGGCTGCTTTTTACCCAATTGGTTTTGTTAACAAATATGGATCAAGGCCTTGCCGGGGCTGGGCCAGGCGTTCCCCTCGGCCTGTGCCTGTCAGTGTCACCCGGGCGTTGACAAGCAGGCATGTGACAGATAGGGTGCTGAGGTGGTGGGAGACCCAATGGTGTGTAAGTCAGCAGAACAAAGTGATAATCATCATTTTTTTTGCCAATTAAAAGACACACATATGTCCAGTTTTTGACATATTTGCAAATATGATGTAGCTTCTGTTACTTCAGGAATAAAAAACACTCTGGAACGTGCCTTCTATTTGCATGTAATGTACATGATCTAGGAGAACTAAGAGGGTCCTGTGACTTCTCCCAACAGATTTTTAAAGACTTTCACGAAGGCACCATTGACTTTGGACCCACCTACAAGTATGACGTTGGCTCTGCTGCCTACGACACAAGTGACAAATGCCGCACCCCGGCCTGGACGGACAGGGTCCTGTGGTGGAGGAAGAGGCATCCTTTTGACAGAACAGGTGCCTGAGATGTGTGCGCTTTCAGAGCTGGAAGAGGGCAAGTGATCAGTACCATAGAAGGAAGATCACTTTTCTTTAGTCCAGCGCTCTTTGTTATATAAATAACAATTCTCTGGATAACCCAGAACTACTCAAAAGTCATCCCAGATGTTAGCCCTAAGCTTTGGGAGTTGCTCCTGGCTCCCCCAAACCCTGCCTCACGGCTGTCCCCCCCAATCCCTGCCTCACGGCTGTCCCCCTACACCACCCTGCCACCTTTTGTTCCCGGCAGGGGTGAGGAGAGAGGCTACAGCTCTTCCTCTCTGGCGCTTCTGCCTCTCACACTCATGCCTTTTCTCCAGCCCATTTTGTTCAGCCGAACTCTTATCTGCTTAAAGCCCCAATTCCAAATCAAATATGAGCGAGACACAGGAAAGATGAGAGGTTTTGTTTTTTAATCAATTAGTTGTCTATCATGTTTTGAACAATTATTGATACCCAGCTAGGAAGTGCAGTTTGTTTAAAATTCGAATGCCTATAAACTAATACATAAACAACTAAGCTTTTCTGGGGAGACGGATGCTGAGATTTCAAGGCCCCGAAATCTCACCTGCAGATTGAGAAGACGCGTTTTTGTTCAGATCACTTTCGTGGACATCTGTGCAAGAGGCTGGATGCCTTCAGGTTCTTAGTCTCTGCATCTCCTGCTGTACAAAGAGCTGCACATCTCCTGTTTCCCATGGGCCTGAGGCAAAATCCCCGCAGCAGCGGTTTCTGTGTTCTCACCCAGTTGGCCCGCTGGGGAGGAGCTTTAACCCCAGGCCCCAAGGCCACTTTGACAGGGTTTCAAGCCCAGGGGGTTAGAACGACTGAGTCTGAGACAGGAGGTGATCCATGACGCGGCTCCCTGGTGCACGTGTCTGTAATCGGCATTCACGAATGTTGATACAATTTTGTGTTGTATGTGTGTCTCTTGATTGGAATCCCCGTGAGTAGCTGGAGAACTCAACCTTCTAGACAATGATCTGGACGCTGACACCAAAGTCGGACACGCCTGGTCTCCTGGTGCCCTCAAGTATTACGGCCGAGCAGAGCTGCAAGCGTCTGACCACAGGTATGGTCCTGGCTGCCGTGGGCACATCCTCTGCTGAGGAAGGCGGGGTCAGCTACTTCCCGCAGAGAACGGACCTGCCTTCCCTGTCCGAATGCGTGTGTGTGCGTGTGTGACACACAGTAAAGAGCAAAGAACAGTATGACAAGTAGCTGTGTACTTGCCACTAAGAATTAATCACTGTTAACACTTTGTCACTGCTCCATGTCACAGGTAACATCTATTATGAAAATTGCGAAGACACAACCTGTGGTATTTTATGTCTTTTAAATTCTGATACATTATGTCATTGTGCAACTTGCTTTTTTTGTTACTTACCATTTTTGAGATACAGTCACGTCATTAGTAGAGATCTGACTCTTCCATTTGTAACCGCTGTCCGGTATTCCACTAAATATATCCACGCGATTTGCCCATTCATCTACCGATGAATATTTTTTCCAATGTTTCATTGTTACAAACACCATAGGGTTTTACAGTGTTGCATTCAGGGTTTTGGATGCTCTGAGCTGTTGCTTTGGCCTAGTGCCTTGTGGATTAAGGAGGGAACACAGCAGCAGAGGTCTCTCAGCTCGGCATGCACCGGGACTGGCCACAGAGGGAGGTTATTCTTGTAGAACGTCTTTAAAGACAGAAGATGGCATTTGACCTTCCCAAGGCTGCTGCCAAAACTATCATGTCACTTTCAACTTTTAAAAGAAAAGAAATTAAGAAGGAGAGTTGGTGGTGAGCAGTTGGTCAGTCACTAGGTCGAAATCTTTCCATGCTTCTGATTTCTTGAGAAAGCTGCTGTTGCAAATACATACCTAGAAATGAGCGTGGGGAAGTCTACAGATGTATGACTTTCAGGTTTGCTAGTTCAGTGAGTATATTTAGAAGCATTCATTTAACCAGTATTTATTGGGGGGCCTTATATTGATATATAGGCCCTGTTCCTGGCACTGAGGAAAAGCAGTGAACAAAACAGATGATACCATGCTCTCAAGGAATTTTCTAGTGAGGACAGACAGACAAGAAACAGAAGTGCCATGAATGAAAAAAAAAGTAGTGGCCGGGGTCAGTCAAGGGGTTGGTGCTATTACATACCCAGTGTTCAGGGAAGGTGCCTCTGGTGACCTTGGAGCCGAGACCTGAAGGAAATGAGAGTGGGAGCCATGTGGGTATCAGGGAGAGAGCATTCCAGAGTGGGAGTGTGGAGTGAACATTTAGGAGTTCGGAGAAGAGAGAGGCTGGAGAGAGAAGAGTGAGGGGAAGAGTCATAGGAAACGAGGTGAGATGAACAAGAGTCAGCCTGCGTGGAACCCTGTGGGCCATGAAAAGGACATTGGCCTTCACTCTGAGCGCGGTGGCATTGTGTGGCCAGGTTAGAACAGAGTCACCTGAAGAAACTCCAGCGGGGCCAGCATGGAAGGAGGGAGGCAGGGAGGAAGCTAGGGATGGGGTGGCTTTGGGCCAGGGTGGTCGTGGGTTGCCATGGTGAGCAGTGGTGGGTTCTGGATAGGTTTTGAAAGTGGAGCCAGCAGAACTGGCTGATGGAGTGGATGTGGGGTGTGAGAGAGATGAGGTGAGGATTGACTCCAGAGTTTTTGGCCTGAGCAGCTACAAGGATGAAGTAGCATTTACTTAGCTGGGAAGACTGGGCAGTGCGGATCTGAGCATCCTGGTTTGAGACACATCTTAGACATTTATTGATTTTTCTAATTACAAAACCAGGACATCTTGGTTCTTGACAATTAGGGGAAATATACACAGACAAATCATCCGTAGTCCCATGCCCTGAGACCATGTCTGGTGACAGTTCGTTTTGTGTCTTTCCACTGCATTTTCCACGTACATTTTGCACCGAAACATTAACCTGTGTGTAGTGTGTGCCCATGTGCACGCAAGCTTGTAGATGTTTAAATGTGGATGACGAAATGAGGACTATGTTATGTGAACTGTTAGCATCTGCTTTCTTACTTGCTACATTAATTTTTTTAATTAAGCTTTTGACTGTGAGGTAGTTACAGACTCGCATGCAGTTATAGGGAATAATGTAGGGATCCTGTGCACACTTTACCCAGCTCCCCACAGCGGTAAGACCCTGTAATCTACAGCGCAGCGTCACACCCAGACGTTGACTTCGATATGGTCGGGACAGAACGTCTGTCACCACGGGGACCCTCGTTTCCCTCCCTCCCACACTCCTTCCTAACCCCTGTCAACCACTCGTCTTTTCTCCTTTTCCAGCATTTTGTCATTTCAAGAATGTTATAAAATGGAGCAGAATTGGGGGACCGGCTTTTTTCTCTGGAGCTTCTTCCAGTTGCTGGTGTGTCAGTAACTGGTCCCTTTTCATTGCTGAGTCAGTGAGGCTGCCTTCCCGTGTCCATACCCACTTTCATCAGAGATGCTCTGCTTCTAACACATGAGGCTCCTCGGGAAGGTTTTTCTCCCACAAAAAGTTTTAAAAAAACCCTCAGCCATATTCCCGTGTCAGATTTTTCTCCGTCTTCTTTTTTCTTGCTTCTAGAGGCAAAAAAAAAATCTAATAATAGTAATATGAATTTGGGGGGATACGACTGATTTACCACCCATATCTCTTAATTTTTTCAATGTTCCCTGGTTTTAAAGCTTGCCACCGTATTCTATGCTATTTTGTATTATGCTTTGTTTCCACCTAATATTGTAAATGTCTTCAATAAGATTACATAATCTTCGTAAGAAAGGATTTTCTAAATTTTTTGTAGAGTAAACCCATCCCTGTATAAAAATTACAACAAGGTTTGCATTATTTCCTGCTGATCTGTTTTTCTGTGTATGTCAGATAGATTTCTACAACATTATTCGTAATGAGTGCATGGCATATGGTCGTGTGGTTGCATCGCAACCTAACGCATTCCCTATCCTGGGACAGTTAGATTGTTTCCCCTTTGTCCCTTCCATCGGCAGTGCTGTAATGATCAACCTCGTGTATAAATCTTTGTCTGACCGTCTGGTCATTTCCTTAGAACAAAGTTCTAGAATTGAGAGTCGTTGGTCGAAAGATGAACATTTTTGAGTTTCCTAACACAAGTTGCCAAACAGCCCCCCAAAAAGCTTGAACCCCTAGCCCAGGGAGAATCCCCTCTTCTCTGCATTCTCGGCAGTCCTGGAGTTGCACGTAAAGAAGCTTTGCTCATGGCCGGTGTGGTTTTCTCTCACATCATCCTTAGATAGAAATGCCGAGAGAATAAGGTTGGGGAAAGACAGACTGAAACCCCGGGACCGGAGAGCTTAGTTCCGGGGACCGTGGCATGGGGAGGGGGCCACGTACACAGGCTGTGTCATGGTGTAGGTTTACTGTTGACAGTGGCGTCGGGACGGAGCCGGGGCTGGGGGATGTCTTGTCCCGAGTTAACGGTGCCCCGTCTTCCCTCCGTGTCTGACGCAGACCCGTGCTGGCCATCGTGGAGGTGGAAGTGCAAGAAGTCGATGTGGGTGCTCGGGACAGGGTGTTCCAGGAAGTGTCCTCTTTCCAGGGCCCCAGGGACGCCACCGTCGTCGTCAACCTTCAGTCGCCAACCTCCGAAGAGAAAAACGAATTTCCCGAGGACGTGCGCACGGAGCTCATGCAGACCTTGGGCAGTTACGGGACGATCCTGCTTGTCAGGTAGGGACGCGCGCATGGCGGGGCTGGTGCGCGCATGGCGGGGCTGGTGAGTGCCTCGCTGGAGGGCGCGCTCCCGGGGCTGACCTGGCAAATCTCATTTCTCCCAGGATCAACCAAGGGCAGATGCTGGTGACTTTTGCAGACAGTCACTCGGCGCTCAGCGTCCTGGATGTGGACGGAATGAAGGTGAGTTGTGCTTGGTCACCCGGGGAGCGGGGCTGCTTGTCCCCGTGGCCTTCTTGTGCTTTCACGTGGCCGGGTCTGCGGGTGTAGACGCCACAGGAGGGCGGGAGCTGGGCCTCTTCATGCCGGCATCTGATTCTGGTAGCTTCGTCGAGGTGTCTACTCTCCAGCCCTGGCTCCTCGCAGAACTGGGGAGAAAGAGCAGGTTTGGGAGCACAGCCCCGCCGTGTTACTGGGTCTGTCTGCGCTCGCACCCTCCCATGGGAGTGTTGTGAGCCTTCTCTTCAGAGCACGTGGTTTGGGACATGCAGCTCATAGGTAGTTTCCGTTTTGATAATATCCTGGTTTTAAGTTCACGTGGAATGAAAAGTGACAGTTCAACTTTTCTTCGGGCCAAACGTGAGCTGTGCTGGGCCTGCCTGAGGTCTAGACCCTCGGCCTTCCTTGGCAAAAGTGAAGGTGGGCCAGGCTCCCGATGCATGCGTTGGAGCGAGAAGCACTTTGGGGTCAGAGGGTCTGACGTCTGCGCTCATTCACAGGCGGCCTCTCTGTCCTCACAGGTGAAAGGCAGAGCTGTGAAGATTCGACCGAAGACCAAGGACTGGCTGCAAGGTTTGCAAGAGGAGATCATTGGAAAGCGAGACAGCGTGGCCGCCGCGTCCCCCACCGCCAACTCCTGTCTGCTGGAGGAAAACTTCGACTTCACGAGTCTGGACTATGAGTCAGAAGGTGAGTCAGGACTTCCCGGTGCGTGGGGTGAGGCGGGCAGGCGAGACGTTCTCCCAGCAGCCGACACGAGAGCCCCAGGATCCGTTCTAAGACCCGCCCTCGGGAAGGTCCGAGAGGATGCTTAAGTTCAGGCTGACTCTCCATGCCAGAGCTGGGTGGCATTCACACGTAGGAGTGGTGCATGCAATGACAAGTAAGATGGGAGGCGTCTAAAATTACACTGAAGACAGTCTGGAGATGTCAGGGCTGTGGGCTTGTCCTGTGTCTCAGGCATCCGTGGAACTGGGGTCCCAGCCCTGCTGCCACGTGGGTGCCCTGGGCCGCGGGCGGCTAGGCCTCAGGTGTCCTGACGCAAGCCATAGGCCTTGGTGTTGAAACAGACCCACAGATAAAAGACTAGGCCCTTTCCCCCTAACTGTTTGCTGTGACATTTCCTTCTCCAAGGGGATATTCTCGAAGACGACGAGGACTATTTGGTGGATGAGCTGAGCCAGCCCGTGGTCTCAGATAGTGAAGCGGGCGGAGACGAGCTCGCCGACGCCCCCAGCTCCATGGCAGTGGCGCCTCCCAGCCGGTCACCGGCACTCACCAAAAAGAAGCAGCATCCAACCTACAGAGGTAGCTTGGACCTTCCTTTTCTAAATCACCTCTGGTGTAGCGATCACTGTCTCAGCAGCCAGACATCTCATAATGCCGCCATCAAGTATGCATGGCCCATGAACAAAGGGGTAAAAGAGGTCACAGCAAGGGGTGAAAACTGGGCTCTGAGAAGGAATCCAGCTGCCGCCACACTGATTTCCTCTAGTGATTTAATTTTTTTCCAACAACTGGTACCCCATAGCGTACCGGATTCATGATCATTAGTTTCCTCTGTGCAGTTTAAGTTGTCGTAGCTCTGAACCGGTTTTACGTTTGTGATTCTTTTTCCCTCTCCAAAACTTTTCTGATTCAATCCCATAAGAGGCATATTCAATATCTATGTCCTGAGTTGCTGGTGTCTGGTTATATTCATATAACATTATATTATTATACAGTAATAGTACACCTTAGCATCATTATGTCATTTTAGACTTAAGAGGGACTGAACGGCATTGGGATCGAACTCCAGGTCCCTAGGTCATTAGAGTAGTTCATATTCCACGTCAGACTCTTCAGCTCGGTTTCAGCCACAGCCACGAGTGCCTTCCAGCTGCTGGACATTGTGTCTCCCTCTTGGAGGAGAGCAGGTGCAGGGGCTTAGCCACGTGTCAGGACCCTTTGAGCTGTGGCTGAGAATAGAGAACAGAGTTGACAGTAAGATGCTTCCCAGGAAAGGTACTTCACTGGGACAGGTACAAAGAACCCCCCAAGCCTTTTTGACTGTATTTGGTCCCAAACCCGGTCAGTAGCCTGGCTGCATTGAACCAGAGGGGGCTTTTAAACTTACAAGTTGCTGAGCCCCGTCACAGAGATGTGGGTTTGGCAGGTGTGGGCTGGGACCCTGGAAATCTGGCAACTCATGAAGCTCCGCAGGTGATTGGGAACACATATCCAGGTTTGGGGGCTGGGTCCATCAGCAAATCCAGGGGGTTCTGCACATTGCACGTCCAGAGGGCTCCTGCCCTGGAGTCAAAGTGGCCGGAGGGATGTGCTCTTGAGACAAGAAGCAGTCCTCTTCTCCAGGGTGGCCATCATTCAGGCATCCTCTCAAGGGCTGGGCAGATGCGCCCCTTGGAATGAAGAATTAATAGAGCAGCATGGGGCTCTCACATGTGAGCAGCCTTGCCCCCTGGTGGACGTCAAGGGAACATCTCAGTGCTATAGGGCGTTCAGGCACTCCCTTCAGAAGGAGAAATCCTGCCTGTCCCCAACAGAACGCCAGAGACACGTGAGGTTGCGTATTGGATTTGAGGGATGGGGTGTATAAGCCAAAATAAAATGAATCAGAGTGTGTTGTAGTGTGGGAGAGAAGACCTACAATCGTCCTGAATTTAAATGTAACAAATGTACATGTAATAAAACAGAAGCTGTCACCTCCCCACACCCCTCTTAGCCTTAGAAGGATTTTGCAGGGCGAGTCAGGACGGCGAATGCTTGGGCAGTAGCTGGCATGGGCTGTAGGATTTGGGGCTTGAATGAGCAGGGCCACTCCATGCTGGGCCTTGGCAAGGGATTGGCAGGCTGCCCTGCTGGCAGAGAAGTGAAAATATTCTCAAGTCCAGAACTCTTGTCCTGTTTCAGAATGAGGTATTAAGAGTGAGGGGCTCTGGTTTTCAACTGTCTACTCTGTGTGGAAGTCTCGTGGATTATTTCAGAAGGAAGCATGCCTACACTTTAAAATATTTCAGTGTCTCTCGTGTCTGGACAGCACACCTTGTCCACGGTTCACTGAATGTTCCAAGCAGGCATTGGGTACCCTCCCCCCGCCCCCCATGCCAGCAGAGAGGGACCCTGAAGCTGTCCTGTGGGAGGAGTTCCTGCCACTGCCGGGTCCCTGCAGACCTGAGTCTGACTCATCTGACTCACGCCCTGCCATGTCCTCCAGATGATGCTGACCTGGTGGTGTTAACGCAGGAGCTGGAAGCAGTTGGGGACTTCCGCCACCGCTCTCCAAGTCGGTCTCTGTCGGTTCCCAATAGGCCTCGGGCACTTCACCCACCGCAGAGACCCCCCCCTCCAAGTAAGACTTCGCTTGCTTTCCGCTCACCACAATGCCTGCTGGGAATAATTGCGTACTTCCTGCTACTGCACAAACGGCTCTAAATCTAGCCTTTGAGTTTCCACAGTGCTTTTTTCCCCTCCTCGGGCTCCTTTTTGTCTTAAATCCATGGCAAGTTTGATATCAGAGATAGCTATGTTTCTCACGGCAAATCACGTGAGTCCTTTATAAAGCTGTTCTTCGTCCTCCCGTAGCTGTGCTTTTGCTTTTGCTTTAAGCTGCTTTCAGTTTGAAACCTTATGGGATGGAAAAATTGGGGCCACAGACAAGCTAGGGACATTTTGAGCTCCTTCCTCCGCCACCCGCCATGGCTTCTTTCTGCGTCTTCTCTACTGGACTGCTGCCCACCCTCTCTCTGCATATGAGGACTCAAGCCCAGGTGCTCTGACCTATAAGGTGACCACATGCCCACCTCTAAGCAGGAGCGTCCGGTCTGTGAGCCCGAGCCTACTGAGAGCAGCACTTCCTAGCCGGGTCTCAGGATAGCACTTTTCTTCCTGGCTCCTCAAAAAAAGCAGTGCTTTGTCCCTGAGACATTCCTTGGCAATCTGAAATAGTCATGTCATGCTTTTGATCAGCTTCTGTTTACCTCCACTGTTCACTTCTCCCCCTCCCCCGCCCCCCCAGTGTGACAGTAAACATTTTTCTAAGACTGTACTTTCAGAGTTGGGTTCATCTTGGCTTACATCACGATAGTAATCAACGGCAAGCCAGAAACACATGACTCGTTAAGCGTATTTTTTTACTTTTCTGAGTTGATACTCAGAAAAGAAAATATTAAATAAAAAACAAATTTATGTCATATTATTGTAGAGATTTACAAAGAGATAAATCTAAACAATAAAAGTTTTAATTTTACTTACCTAGAGATAATAGTTGTTAACCAAAAGATTTCCATCCTTTTTCCAATTAGATATATCTATATCTACACACAATTTTTAAAAATTAATTAATTAATTTCTGGCTGCGTTGGCTCTTTGTTGCTGCGCGTGGGCTTTCTCTAGTTGCGGTGAGCAGGGGCTACTGTTTGTTGCGGTGCGCGGGCTTCTCATTGTGGTGGCTTCTCTTGTTGCAGAGCACGGGCTCTAGACGCGCGGGCTCAGTAGTTGTGGCTCGCAGGCTCTAGAGCGCAGGCTCAGTAGTTGTGGCGCACGGGCTTCGTTGCTCTGCGGCATGTGGGATCTTCCGGAGCAGGGCTCGAACCCGTGTCCCCTGCATTGGCAGGCAGACTCTCAACCACTGCACCACCAGGGAAGTCCTCTATACACAATTTTTCATTTTTTTTTTTTACAGAATTAGTGTCCATTTTGTTTGGTCATTTGTGTTTCATCTAATGTCTCTGAATTAACTGTTGTTCTGAAACATGACTTGTTAATGGCTGCAGGTATTATTTAGCTTATTCCCCTGCTTTGGGATTTTTTTTGTTAGATTTTGCCCACAAAGTCTTTTAAAAATTTGGTCCTAATAATAGTAGTGTATTTTAAACGACTTAAAAATGATGGATCAGAGTTTATATCAGATTTAACTCCTCCAGGATGTTAGATTAAAATTTTCATTCAAACAGTGCTTCTCCAGAGAATCTACATTAATAAGCCCAAGTTATTAGAGAATCACAAGAGAAACTGAGTAGCGCCTCTGAATCCCCAAAGGCCATGGATGTACTCAGACCCTAACTGTGACCTTGCTCTCAGTTGGCTGGGAATTTGCATCGAAGCAGCTGCGACTTCACTGAGATTGAGACTCTGCCCTCCTTGGTCTTTACAGCTGGTCTAATGGTGAAAAAGTCAGCCTCGGATGTGTCCATCTCCTCTGGCACCCATGGGCAATATTCGATTTTGCAGACAGCAAAACTTCTGCCAGGAGCACCTCAGCAAGCAGTGAGTTCTCCTGTATTCACATCATAGCGAAAAGGGTCAGCATTTCAAACCCAAGAGATTTGCCCCGTGATTCATCCTTAGCCCCTAACATTATGCAGGATCACCTCTTTTCAGTGAATATATATATGTCTGTCTCTTTAACCCTCTGCCTGTCCACCATTCATCCCCAAACCCCATAACTTGGTACCAGGCCCTTTATAGGGTTTTTAAATGGTCGTACAGAGCATGAGAGAGAAAATCACGTTTGATGAAAACTCCCAAGTGCCCCTTCAGGGAGGGACTGTTGGTTTCCAGACCCACCTGCTTCTCTCCCCTCCGATGCTTGCCTTTGACCTTGGTGTATAGAGCAGGGGCTGACAGAAGGGGAAATAAGAGAAGTTCAGATCAGTTGTCTTGAGAGAAGAGGCTAAAAAGAGATCTAATGGGGCCTAAATTACGCAGTAGGGACATTACTAATCATAACAGTTGTGTAGAGTTCTGGAGGATGGCTGTGAGACCTAAAGAAGACGGTAGGTGAAGGTCAATGGACTAGAGGTGAGGGAGGGGGGAGGTGCAGCGGGGGGGCTGGGTGGAAGCTAACGTGTCCCAGGAGAGTGTGTAGAGCTGGGCCAGCCGATGGTCACGGTCACTGCAGGAGTAGGCGGTTGACTCGACCTCAGTGGTTTGTAGTAATGAAAGCAGGTTATCAAAGGCGACCCAGAGGTCTCAGTTAAGAGGCGGCAGAAAAGGGAAGAGGTAGAGAGAGCACTTTTGAGAAAACATCTGGAAAAGTGTTTTAATGACTCCGCTGGACCATGGAAGGAGTAGCTTCTGACTGTTTTCTGGCTTTTACCCGATTATTGACATAAAGATAGAGGATGGTTTGTTCACGTTGCAAAATCCTGGAATCGTCCAGTTTAGGAGACGAGGGTGGCCTAAACTTTATTGTGTTCCCCCCACGCTTGATATGTGAGTGCTGGGCGGGGGAGTTGGGGGAAGAGGCTTGAGGGATGCGGTTTGGGCTGAAGTTGTGTTTTAATCACCGTCTGAGGGAGCTCTGTCAGCTTCACGCTCCTGTACAGATCGGTAGGCAGAGAACTCACCAGGTGAGGCTGTTTCCTACCTGTGCTAATATGCTTTTTTTCCTGATTTTGTCCTCAAGCCCAAAGCTAGGACTGGGATAAGTAAGCCTTATAACGTCAAGCAGATCAAAACTACCAACGCTCAGGAGGCGGAAGCAGCAATCCGATGTCTCCTGGAAGCCAGAGGAGGTGGGTGTTCCCCTGGGGCTCTCCTGCCAATTCTGCTTTTCTTTTCATCTTCCTACTAAAAGGGGCCTAGAAGAGAAAAACACTCTTTTTTCTGGAGGCAGTATTCAATGAAAGTACCCTTGAGCAACATTTTATAAAATTCAGCTACTAAGACTTATTGTCCATTTAAAACTATATATTTAAAATTCAGTAAGTATGTAAAAATAATCCCAAGATTATTAGGCAGCACTTAAGGGAGAGACTGAAATAAACAAGGAGAGACTGAAATAAACAAAAAGGAGTTTTAAAAGAGGTTGGTGCCCCAGGCACTAACTCATTCTGCTGGCTCTGTAAAAAGAGACAGGTAGGTAGGCGTCCTCTTTCAGGCAAAACATCTGTTTTTTTAAATCGCCAGCAATTGTAGATTCTCTCAGGCAGGGACACTGTCAGGCAGGGACCTCTTCTCTGCCGTACTGCCTGTTAATTTTTTGTTGCTGTTACTTCACCTAACCCATGTTAACCATGTTTTAACTTGGAATCTCCTCTGTACATTCAAAATCACTGGTTATTAACATTTTTTGGTTTTTTGTTGCGATTTTATACTAGAATCTCTTTTGCAGAGGGAAAATTATGCCCTCTGAAAAGCCAGGTGCAGTTACAGTTGCCTGATTTGCTTATAGCGCAGGTATCTAGTTTATTTGGAATTCCCAAACAACATTTAAGGAGGGCATGGATTAAGAGATTGAGAAACACTGTTGTAGGATAACACCGTGGTTTCTTTTTTATTAAAAACAATAACTCAAATTGCATGGATGTAACAACCCAAGTGTCCATCAACTGATGATGGATAAAATGGGGTATATCCATACCATGGAATATTATTCAGCCAGAAAAAGAATGAAGTACTAACACATGCTATATCATGGGTGAATCATGAAAATAGTGTGCTAAGTGAAAGAAACCAAACACAAAAGGCCACGTATTGTGTGATTCCATTTATGTTCAGTGTCCAGAGTAGTCAAATCTATACAGAGAGAAAGTTATAGTGGTTTCCAGAGGCTGGAGAGAGGAGGGTGTGGGGAGTGACTGCTATGGGAATGTGCGGGGTTTCTTTTTGGGGTGATGGAAGATATTCCGGTGATTAGATAGTGGTGATAGTTGTACAACTTTGTGACTACACTAATAACCACCAAATTATATCCTTAAAAAGCGTAGATTTTACGGTATGTGAATTATATTGCAGTAAAGGTTTTTTGTTTTTTTTTAAAGTCTATAGATGCAGAGGTTTGAGGTTTGAAATGTACCCAGGGTCCCAACTTAACATTTTCTTGGTCATGGGCCCTGCTGAGATTGTGAGTTTTGCATCATCTACCCTGAGAAACACAGGGACACGTTAAACTTTGCACGTGATGTCAGGGCCTCACTGCTCCTCCCCTCCACAGACCCTACATCACCATCCCTGTTGAGAAGGTGGGAATGAGAAGCTGGGGGCCAAACCTAGCTGGTTGGTCCTGACAACCTTGAAAGATTTATTTTTAGATAGCAAAGAAATACATTGCATTAGTAAATTAGCCTTAGAATAAGGATAATTCGATGCCTTGTCCTTTACACTTTAGCCGTGCAATTGTATGTTTCAGGCACCCCGGGAGAAGCCCTAAACGCCACAGCCTTGACGGACCAGGGATCTTCCAAACCAGAGCCCACAGCGGGGGTGGCCCCACTCCTGCCCCGTCGGCCCGCACCCAGAGTTCCTGCCATCAAGAAGCCAACCTTGAGGAGGACAGGAAAGGTAAGAACCTGGTTGCACAAGCCTGTTGCTCCTGGGTTGTTCAAATGTCTTGTTAGATAAGAATTCCGTCTCCGATGGGTCTGGTCTCTTTATACATGTTCATGAGTCCCAGACACAGATCCATCCTTGAGGAAAATGCCCAGCAATCGCTTTCTTCTTCGCATTCCTGCTGCTTCTTGGCTCAAGCTGAGCAGAAACATTGGGAATTTCTCACCAAGACAGGAACAGCTTGGCGGTATCGCGCTGCCCAAATGTTCCATTTCAGTTCCCAAACCGAACCACCGTGGGGTGCTTTATTCCAAGTGTCCCAGTGATTCCCATTGGTGTGTGGTCTGTGTCCTATGCCCACGGTTTGACTTGTACAGACTTTTATTTGCATTAGAAAAACAATCACTGGTTCCTGGATTGGCCATGTTGACAAGCGCTTGTGCGGCCCCGGACCCTGGAGGCTCGACAGCTTTTCTTGCCACTTTTCTTGCAGATTGTTTTTTGCTCTCGCTCTCAAGCTTCTCAGCCTTGCTTGCTGCTTCAAAGACATGAGTTTGTCAGGACAGTAGCAGCCCAAAGACTGGCACCTCTAGAGGCATCTGGATCTTCCGTGTGAGCTCAGTGTGCTAGTCACGGACACCCGGTAATCCCTCGGCTGGTCATTACAGAATGGCTGCTTTGCCACCTGTAGAAAGCATGAGCGTGGTTTGGGCGCGTGGTTCTTACAGAGCCTGCTCTGTGTTTTCTGGATTGCTCGCTGTCGCGCGTCTGCCCGTGCATCTGCCTATTTTCCACGCCTCCTTGCACAGCACACCTCTTTCCTCCTCTTCTCTATTCTCGCTTTGTCTTCAAAGCCAGGGGTAGAAACGGATTCAGTTTCCCCACCCACTGCACAGGAGCTGCAGTTAAAGGCCGTCGGAGAAAGGGTTGTGTCTGCAGCTAGTTTTCTAAAGAACCAGCGGAACTACGGAAATGTGGATGCTTAAGCTACCGACAGCCGTGTGTGTACAAAAGCTTCCTCTGGCCTCATGCAGTTGTTTTCTTTGTGATCCTTTTGAGTCAGAACCAAGGAAGTGAAGTTCCTGTATGAAATTTTCCATTCTTCTATACTTAAATATCAAAGATTCAAGGAGCAAGTATACCCATTAGTCTTTCTGTTAGCTTAATGCCGTGACATAAGCTACTTCATCTTAGTATGGTACAGACTGAATTATCAAAGCTGCGGCCTCGAAGAAAAGTTTTCAGAGAGGTTCGCTGTTAATAAAGGAAGAGCATCACCCCGTTTCCTAGGTAACAGAAACTTGTTTCAGATTGTTCACGGTGGCCCTGGTTTGAAAGCTCCCACTCATATTTCATCGGACCTGCTGGTCCTCCTTGATACGTGTGTTTCTCCCATGCTCCTTCCTGCCTGGTCACACTCCCGCATCCCAGACATTCTCAAATCCCGAATTTGCTAGAATGTCCGCTTGTCCCCTGCTCTGTTCGCCTGTGGACAGCGTCTGTGTGCTCTGATTCCCAGCTCCCGGGGGCGGGCTGCTTATTGACGCTCTTTGTCGTGCCTTTTCTTAGCCCGCGTCACCAGAAGAACAGTTTGGGCATCAAGCTGTCCATTTTACAATCGGGCCCCCGGAGACGAACCTTGACACCCCTCCTCTAGCAACAGCCCCTCCCGTTCCCAAACCGAGAACACTTCAGCCCGGGAAAGGTGCCGCTGTCTCCAGGAAGCCAGCGCCGGACGAGGCCCCGACCGCGGCCGCCCCGCCCCCTCCGGAGGCCCCGCCCCTCGTGCCCCAGGTGCCCCCTCGGAGGAAGAAGTCGGCGCCGGCGGCCTTGCACCTGCAGGTGCTGCAGAGCAACGATCAGCTTCTCCAGGGGCCTCCCTGCAGCAGCCCCAGCAGCGACTGTCCGCCCACACCCCTGCCTGCTGGGGGCGCGCTCTTCCCCCAGCCGCCTTTCCTTGGCCCTTCATCACCTGCAAGCCCTGAGGCTGATGGCACCAAGGACACGAAGTCGGAGGCCGCCCCCCTCCTCGGTGATTATCAGGACCCCTTCTGGAGCCTTCACCACCGTAACCTGTTGAATAATTCCTGGCTTCCCAAGAGCCCTGACCCCCTGGACTCAGGGAACAGGAACCTCGGAAGAGCACACGCAGCCCCCCAAGTCAGTGCCTCACCTGCCCAGGAGCCGCCACTGGAGCACAGAGAAAAAGACTTCGGTCACTGGGTGACAACCAGTGACAAGGACAAGAGGACGGTGCTGCAGGTGTTTGACCCACTGGCGAAATCATGACTGGGAAACTCCGACAGCAGCTCTCCCACAGGATGTGTGCCTTCTCCCCCTGGCCTCACCTTAACAGGGGAAAGCCCATTGGTCTCAACTCCCCAGTTGAAAGAGACATCTAGTTAAAGGCACACTGAAAAAACATTGATACTCTTGTGTAGTTTACAAAAATTGCGTCTCTTATTCAGTAAGATTATTATTCAGCCACCAAAATATGTTTTATTCCAGACTTGTGCATGTTAAGTTTCCTCTCAGGGTGTGAGAAACCTCCGGGTAGATTCAGTATACGGATTTTAGGAAAGAGAATCTAGCCGATAATGCTCAAGAGGTTCCCTCCCATTGAATTTTAAACGGTTATTCAAGTTATGTTTGTATGTGGTGAGTTTGTTTTTAAATACTGTTTGTATTTTACAGACTTGGAATAACCTTTTGGTGACCCACCTGAAGGTTGATGCATAATGTAAGGATTCCACTAAAAGGTGGTTGGGACCATTAAGAGCTGTACCTGGCCGCCGACACCAGGTTAAAAAAGATATCAGAGTAGGAAGCAGCAAATAGGTCAACCAAAAGATTAGACTGTACATTCCTGGGAGCCCCTGTGTTTATTTATGTACGTGTATATTAGCCGTGATTATGTGGGCGTCCTGGGGGAGATGGTATCATTCCCTGCTTTGGTTCCGGAGCATATACCATTAGCTTCACCTGAGCTCCAACTGCCTAAGTCTCCTGTACCATGTCTTAGACTTTGCATGTCCCGTAAATTGCTACAGTCCTGAGCTCTGGTGTGCTACCAGTTTTTACACACTGTCTGTTCCCTATTAAATAAAACCTCATGGCTTTCTTTTTCTCCTTATATTCCATATTCAGAAAAAGCACAAAATGTGAAAACTCATACTGGTACATACGAGTACTGATTTTCATTATTATAATTTGAAGAATATCTGTTTTAGTCTGGTCTACCTAGCTGTGGCTTCAGGAAGGAAAGTTACCACGTGTCCCCATATATAAGAAACCTCAGGATATTCTGAGTTAGCTTATCTACATTTTTATTAGGTTTTGTTTTCCTCTACGTTTCCAACACCACTTCTTACCTATTCAGTCTTTAAAAAAGACATCACCATACTGCTTTACATTTTTAAAAGAATGTTACAAGGCCTAGAACTCATTTGGATTAGATATCATAATTTTGCTGATAAGAAATTTACTGGCAAAATCTTAGTGTGCCACATACTATGTTTAGGAGTCTTTCATGTCATAGAATCATACAGCAATGGTTCTGTGTTATCCCTAATGTGACCAGCGAATTCCTGTACTCAAAGCTAATGGTTAGGATGGCAGGCAGGCTCCTTTTACTGATCAGACCTCTGGGATTTCAGAATTAACTCTCATTGCTACTATCAAGATACATTACAGATTATACGAAAACAGAACTGTATCTCATTTCATCTGAAAACTAATAAAAGAAAAAGATATTAGTGACCCATAGAGATAAATAGATAACACGAGTAGTTAACCAGTAGTAAAAGATGGTGTTTTTAGCCTTAGCTGATTGGGACAGCTTGTCTAGCACTTACATGCTTTATGTCATTTTTACCTCTCTGAGAAATGCAAGAAGTAAACAGCGTGATCCTTGAAAGCGTTAGGAGGAGAAAGGAAGCAAGATGGGTAAGAGGCTCTGGAAAGGTAAATCATTTACCAGGATTCGCGTCACTTCTAAAGGGCATAGTTGGGAATGGAACTGAAGATTTCTTAATTTAAACACTCTTTTCTCCATAACCTCTTTTCCTACTAAAAAGGAGGTGAATTTGAAGGCATATCTATGTAACAGTGAGTCAGAAAAGCAGGGGGAAAGTAAGCACCACAAAAGTTGCTTCCAGTGGTTAATTTTCAGGTTTCTTCTTTGTTCTAGATAGCGAATAGCCAATAAATGCTACACTGAACAGAATTTCATTTCAGATAGGTGTTCATCACACAAATAGTTGTTAAGAATCTGACAGTAAGTATTAACACACAGAACTGTATTGAGGCAGGTCACAGGAAAAATTATAAGTAGTTTAACATTAAGAAATGAATATTATTTGCTCATGGCTGTTGAGGTTTAATGAATAACAGAGACTGGATTTTGAGTTGATAATATGTAAGGTTCTTGTACTAACATTCACTTTTTTTTTTTTTTAAAAAGGACAATTGGAATTGCTTTATTTTTTAAATCAGTGCTTAACAGTGGGTATCTTTCCTAGGTTAGCAGTAGAGTTGGTTGAATAATCTCGACAATGAGCAGCTGCCATCCTGGGGATTTCATTCCATGGTTTTTATTTTTAATCTTTCTTTGATGTTCCCACACCAGCCGTTTTATTGTGACCTTGCAGTTCATTTCATTACTGTTGTGTAAGGTGTTACAGTTCACCACAGTATTTTAGGCACAGACTTTACAATTCGGCATTGTCTCCCTGACCCCAATTAGATTCCCTTTTTACAGTATAATCTTCCTGGACTTCTTGCCAATTTAAAAAAATTTGTTCCAGTAAATTACTGAAACAAGGACATCTGCCCAAGAAAGTCCTGTAAAAGTTTAAAGTTGTTGAAGTTCACGACACTTAAAATTCTCCTGACCTGTGTATGAGCAAGGTAATGTATTAAAACATTTGCTTTATAATGAAGTAATTCTATTAGAAAGGACTGCAGAAATTACTTATTGGATCTTACTGGATGACTAGCAATGAATAAAAACCCTAATGTTTATTTGAAGTGATAATTTGTACTGAAATTGTAAAAAAAAAAACTTATTAAATGTTCTATCTTTTTTTTTTAATGTGGCTTATTTCTTTTCAGATATGAAGAGAACCTTGGGATATCTTCCTTGGCTAGCCTTTTATTCTGGATGAAATGCAATTACTAGTTATTCCTCTGAGTTTTTGGTTTTGTTTCTTTTTTCAACCATCAAATTAAGTTGAAGCAACATAAAAGTAATAATTTGGTTCAGAATTTATGAGTTGAAGGCTGCTAGCAGGGATCACAGCCATAACATATATAATAACTTTGTGCTATAATGTTGAGAGATGCTGGGATTCATTTTCTATAGGATCTTACAGCAAACTTAGATTGCTGGGGTGGCTTGAGTACATTACTTCATAGAAGACTGGAGAAAGGAGTAAACAATCTTCCAGTTCTGTCTAGGTTTGTCCTTAGCTAATTAATAGACAAAATTTAGGTCATAAATGTTCTCTGATGCCTTTCAGGAATAAGAATATACTGACAATCTCCACATCATAAAGATGCCCAGTCCTTCCTGACCAGTAAGGACTATATTGAATTCATTTAATCTGAGTGCCTGGGACTTGGATGGGGAAGAAGGAAAGGGCTGGTTACAGTACCTTCCTTTCCCAAGGTCATGGATTGAAACTCATTCTCATACAGGGCAAACTGTTTGCAGTTATATAATCAGCTCTATCTCGATGAGGTAGGAGAGTACAAATGAGAGAGTGATTACTTGTGAACAGAGGGCCAGGGGAGATTTGAGAGAAGAGGATTAAGAATATGACATGTAGCAAAGTAGATTTATGTACATGTAAAGAATGAGCCGGTGGGAAAGAATTTCAGAGGAATGGTGTCCGTACAGGGGATGCAGCCTGTCACGGAGGGTCAGAGTCCAGAGGGCGGTCCAACATCCTCCTCAGTGATAGTTATACTATACCATTTATTAAATAACAAACCATTGCTCTCTCCTTCTTAATTGGGTTTCTCTAGGTGTTACCCAGTTTTTATTGACATTTTCAAATAACAGCATTGGTATTTGTATATCCTTTATATTGTTTATTTTTATTTTGTTATGTCGGTTTTTAAAACATTTTTCATTAACTTCAACTTATCTTTAATTTGCATCCTTTTCTACTTTTTGTTTAGTTTTGTTATTTTCCTAATTGCTTAATTAAAGCTAGCACTGGGTTTCATTATTTTTAGTCTTGCTTAACAATAAAGACATTTAAAGTTATATATTTTCCCCTGATTGTAACTTTAACTGCACCCTACACATATTAGCATGAAATAGTCTTTTTCATTAATCTCTAGACTGTAATTTGCTTTTAGTTTCTCTTTGATTCAAGGGAGACTGTGCAATTTTCCGATAGTTAAGAGTTTGTTTGGCATTTTAAAATTGTTTCCTCCTAATTTTATTGGATTATGACCTGAGAATATGGCCTAGATAAACATCTGCTTTCTGAAACTTATTGAGGTTTTTGCTCCATGGTCACGTGCAGGGTTGAGTTTTCTAGTGATTTCATCAATACAAAATAAAAATGTTTTTTAGTTGTAGGGTAAAAAAGTGTGTGGTGTGTGACATACAACGTGTTCGTTCCACTGTCCCCCGATGGAACAGGTCTTTCTGGAAGGCACTTCTGTCAGGGGAGGGGTGCAGGCTCTAGTTCTAACTCTAATACAGCGGCTTCCCATTGTTCTTACTGAGAATCCTTAGATTTTGTTGAATAAAAGGCTTCTCAATTTGTTGTAAGTCTTTTGATCAATCTTTAGACATTTGAATGATTGCCTTTGCTACCCTTGACTAGTTTAACAGATCTCTTTCTCTGGGGGAGAGGTTTCCTTAGCTGCTCACACTGCCATTACAGAGTCTCTGCTTCCTGGGCTCTCTGTTCTTGTGCCACTGGTCTACCTGTCAATCTCTGTGTCAATAGCATGTTGTATTATTTCTTTGATATCTGGTAAAACAAGCCCTTCTATTCTTGATCCTTAGCATTTTCATATAAAAATTTTGGAATCAATTCATCAAGTCCTATTTAAAAACTAAAACCTATTGGAATTTTTTACTGGGACTTCATGAAATAGAATGGACATCTTTACAGTATTGACCCTTCAATCTAAGAACATGGTATATTTCTCCACTTAAGTATTTCATTAATGTTTCTCAAAGATTTTAACTTATAAAATTTTTCAAACATACATGAAATCAGAGTGAATAATTTTAACTCTCATATATCCATCACCAGGATTTAATAGTAATTTAACATTTTGCTATATTTGGTTTATTTTTTTCCCTTGCTGAAATTTTTTTAAAAATTCTGCTATCATGATATTTGACTCCTAAATACTTTCTTACCTCTAAATAACATTTTCTTTTATAATACCATGGTTTTATCTAACAGTTAACAATAATTCTTACTTAAAAATTCATTTGCTATTTTTTGCTAGTATACTTAAATATAAAAGTTTGTGTATTGACTGCATCAAACAACCTTGCTTTTATATAAACTGTCATAAAAATCTAACAACTTACTGTATTTCAATATACCATCAATTATGAGATACACATTTACATGCTATTTTTTTAAATTTTTATTGGAGTATAGTTGTTTTACAATGTTGTGTTAGTTTCTCCTGTATAGCAAAGTGAATGAGTTATACATATATCCACTCTTTTTTTGGATTCTTTTCCCACATAGGTCTTAAGAAAGGGCTATGGTCTGAATGTTTGTTTCCTCCCAAAACTCATATGCTGAAAACTTAACCCCTAAAGATGATAGTATTAGGAGGTGGAGCCTTTGGGACGTTCTAAGTCATGAGGATAGAGCCCTAAGGAGTGGGATTAGTGTTCTTATTAAAAGAGACCCCATGAGATCCCTCACCCCTTTCACCATGTGAGGACACAGTGAGAAGGTCCCAGCTGTGAAACAGGAAGAGGGCCCTCACCAGAACGTGACGATGCTGCTGTCTTGTTGTTGGACCTCCAGCCTCCAGAACTGTGAGAAATAAATGTTTGTTGTTTATAAGCCACCCAGTCTGTGGTGGTTTGTTATAGCAGCCTGAACAGACTAAGCCAGAAGGCTTCCAACTTAATTATGACTCATCTATTGTGAGATGTAGCCCACCCACAGAGATGTTAAATGTATTTAATGTATCTTTAAATTGATAACATATGGTGTATGTGGATTCTTTGGATTTTCTTTGTAGACAGTTACCTGCAAATAATGAGTTTTGTTTCTTCCTTTCCCATCCTTGTAACTTTTATGTCTTTTTCTCACCTTACAGAGCTGGCTAGGACATTTAGTACAAGGTTAAATAAAAACATTGGTAATAGGTGTTCTTGTGTTACTCTTCTTAAGAGAAAATGTTAATATTTTTGCCATTAAGTATCATGTTTATTGTTTTTTGTTCTTTAGACACCCTTTACTATATTAAGGAAGTTCTCTTTCTGGATTACTAAATTTATCTTTTTCATGAATGGTGGTTAAATTTTATCAAAGACATTTTCTACGTGTACTGAAATGATTGATTTTTTTTCTCCTTTTGTTTGTTAATATGGCAAATTACACTGATCAATTCTCCAATGCTAAACAACCTTGCATTCTTGGTATAAATCCAACTTGGACAGATTACCTTTTAAAATATTGCTGCACTTAGTTTGTCAATATTTTTGTTTAGGATTTTTGCAACTATATTATTGAGATTGGCCTGTAACTTTCTCTTTTTTCTGCTGACTTTGTATGGTTTAGGTATCAAAGTTACACTAACCTCAAGAGTTGGGGAGTACACTCTTGTCTATTAACTGAAAGAATATGATAACATTGAAATTATTTTCTCCTTAAATTTTTGGTAGAGTTCACCAGGAAAGTAAACTGTGTCTATAGTTTTTATTTTGAACCTCTTGGTGCCCTCATGCTTCAGATGGTCTCTTATAAACAGCATATAACTGAGTGTTGTTTTATTATCTAGCCTGGCATATTTATCTTCTAACTAGGGTATTTAGTCCATTACATTTAATGTAATAATTGCTATATTGGGGCTTAAATTTAACATCCAATCTTACGCTTTCTCTTTTTACTATCTGTTTCTTGTTTCTTTTCCTGTCTTTTCATGCCTTCTTTTGAATTTTTGTCATTCCTCTTTTTGTCCTCTCCTAATTTGGAAGTCATTATACCCTATTTTTGTTGGTTACATTTTTATTGGTTATTTTAGAAATTACAACATGTATTATTAACATTATACTTTCAGAATTTAATCATTATTTTTACCTTCCTCCTGAATAATGTGATGCCTTTGGAAAACTTTAACTCCATTTATACCATCCCAACTGTAGTTACTGTATATTTTAATTTTACATATTTTAACACCTACTCAAGACATTATTATTGTTTTATACAATCAGTGTTCATTTATTTTATCCAAATAGTTGCCTCTTTTTTCACTCTACATTTCTTGAATCTCAGCATCTCTGGCTAGATCATTCATTTACCTTCTACCTGAAGTACATCCCTTAACATTTCCATTAATGAAGGTCTGCTGGTGGTACAGTTTTAATTTATATAAAATATCTATTTTATTTTAATATTTTAAATGACTTATTATTTTTACTGAATGTATTATTCTAGGGTGGGAGTGGTTTTTGGCAATACTGCAGGTGTTCTTCTAGCTTCCATTGACTGATGACTTCTCAACAGTAGCAATCTTAACTGTCATTCCTTTACACTTTTTTTACTTTGACTACTTTTAAGGTTTTCCTCTTGTGTTGGCTTTTCTGCCGTTTCACTGTGCTGTGTATAGATGTGAATTTATTTTTATTTGCTCTGCTTTGAATTAGTTGAATTTTTGAATCTGTGGATTTGTGCCTTTCATCAGTTTGGGAAACTTTTTAACCATTATCTCTTCAAATATTGCCTCTGGGACATGCTTTTTTCTTCTCCTTTTGGTACTCAAATGAAACATAGAATTTGTTATCATCTTACTTGAAAATATCCTTAGTTTTCTGTATTTTCCATCTTTTTTGTCTCTCTGTGCTGCATTCTGGATAAATTTTTCTGACCT